CACGTGGTCAATATACTTTGGTTGAATTTGTACCTGATAGTTCCTGTTTTTGCCAGTGGAAGTGTGCCTCTAGTAAGTAGAGCTGACTATGTACTAAACTGTGGAAAAGGGACGTTAGTCCCAAGTTTGTCCAGAAGAGGAGCTTCTGGGACCGGTGTTCTCTCTTCCTCCAAGGAAAATTTCACTCTCATCGACCCATTCATTGAGGAAACAGCTGGATTGTTACGTAAAGCACAGTCGGGACAAAATAGCCCTGAGCCCTTTTGAAGAATGTGAAACAAGATTAGCTAGGTAGACTTTCCATTCTCTCAGTGCAGTTTGGAGTTCAGTTCCATTGATCATCAATCATCTGTGCTCATTCATCTTATCAGGGCCAAAGAGCTCCAAGGCTGTCGATCCACGGCTGAACAATTTTCAATTCCTTAATAATTTATTGATGGCGGGCAGTCAAATTGCATATCAATAATGTAGAGGTGCTCAGTACAATGTTGATACAAAACACCCTCAGCTCATTCATGGTCAAAGACCCACTGAGATATGTTCTATGCTGGGTCCCACATAATCCAGTGGTGGCATGAGGCAGGAATCCGAAGTGCATCAGTGAGCTGTGTATTGCCTCTGATACTTCTTCTATTTTATTTCTGTGGGAATGTATGCATTAAAAAGGTCTACGGGTAATTTCGGTTTGGAAGGTCATCCGATACTCTCTCAGATGAAATAACGTCAAAACACAAATATGAAAAATCATCCCGAAAAAGTGATTATAACTGTGGAAAGGAAATAAAGAACTACCCACAAACCTATAAAAAAATCTCTTTGCAAAGAGAAAAAAATAGTTTTGATTTATATGTCACCCGTCTAAGTACTGAAATTAGCCTGCACTGTAATTCCTATTTTTTATAGGGACAGGTCAATTTGGAGAAAAAAGCTTACAAACGCCACCATGACACGATAGCATAATGATGACCATTCCACTCTCGGACTTTACTGAATGATCACATTTAGATTTTTGGGCCTGGGCCAATCACATATGTAGGACAAATTAGAGAACCAATGGCCAAATTCCATCTGGGTCAGCATCTTTTATTCACGAGGCACGCGTACACAGTTACATGCCATCCTGCCCCCGGGGGCCCTGTGGAGACCCACTCCGCCACAGCGAGATGGCCCACCATTTTGTTCTGTTTTGAAAATTATCTCCAAAGAGATTAGCTAGGGGCCCCAGAAGCGTTTCCCTTTGTTGTCTATCCCACTGTGTGTGTGTGTGTGTGTGTGTGTGTGTGTGTGTGTGTGTGTGTGTGTGTGTGTGTGTGTGTGTGTGTGTGTGTTCAGATGATATCAGCTTGCTGTTGGGAGATTCACAGTGCTTTATCAATGTGCATATAAAGACACCTGATACCCGAAGCACATACTGTAATATGTTCACGCATGATGTGGCTGACTTTGTTTCTATTAAAGGGATACACAGTCCAAGGGAGAAAAACAAAACAAAACATTGTTTTCAGTGGCTGCAAGTCTCTTTAATTGATGAACTCTGCATGACCCCATTTCTGGTGCACACTGCCGCTGTGATGCATCATGCCCAATATGATTTGGGAAATGAACTAAACCACATGAGGAAACTGCTGGTTCCAAAAGATGGAAATTAGTTGTCAGAACAGAACCCTGGAATACACAGCATCAGGTACAAATGCGCAGAACTGTAGTTCTACTTTCAAAGACAATAATACTGAGTTTTGATTCGTATACTGTGAAAGAAACATTTGTTATTCTTGGTGTAGGTTGCAGCAGATGTGGAAGTACATGGGATCACACAAATGGATGTTTCTAATACTTTGGCCACACCAGCTATGGACAAAGAGAAATACAGAATGAAACGCTCAGTATGATGCAGCACAAGTGGCTGCAAACTGTAAAATAAAAGCACTGTAATAAAGTGCACATTGGACGAGTGATAAGTGCAATTATATGAAGTTGTTTCTTTGTGTTTGAAAAACAACACTGCGCCAAAATGAAGCTCCATCTCAGCCGTTGGTTTCCCAGCATGGACGTGAAGCGGCAATAGAGCAACTAGGCAGAGAGAGAAATGGAGAGGGTGAGAGACTGGGGATGTGGTTGCTATAGAAACCATCTGGTGGTAGGTCTGAACTGTTTCTCCCTGGCATTCATTTCATCATTGAGACTGACTCTCTCTCTCTCTCTCTCTCTCTCTCTCTCTCTCTCTCTCTCTCTCTTTCTCTCTTTCTCTCTCGCTCTTCCCTTTTTCTCTCCATGTCTCTCTTATCTGCTCATCTCCTTCCAAATCTGCCTCGTTATACTTCCTAGTCTCTTCACTTCTCTTCTTGCGAAAAAAAAAAACAAAAACCCGGAGTGTTTAACGTTAATGCGGCATGTTCCCTTCTTTTATCCTTTTGGCTGCTCTTCCGCATTTTCATTGCTGTGTGCTGACAGTCCCATCTGCTGGACTTGGATTCTTACCCTCTTGTTTAAACAACACCCAAGGACGATGTCGCCAGGCCAAGAATTTGCTAAAAATGATTTAGAAATGGAAAACAAAAAAAAAAGGATTGATATCTAATAGCCACCATGGTTAAAAGATTGACGTCATCGGCAATCATGAATTTAGCTGCAAGCAAAGTGGATTCTAACAGACTTAACATCAATTAATCTCCAAATAAAGACAGGCTGCTGAGATACATTCAGGAAGATTTTAAGCTTGCTGCCCGTTTCCTGTGAGTTGTCGCCCTTTTAAATTCCCAGGAGAGGCCTGATGAGTGGGAAAATATTTGATCCCAATGCCAGAGGTCAGAGGAGGTGGAAAGGAAGCTAATGATGTCTCAGTCAGGTCTTGATATTGCTCCCTTACCTCCACAATTCACATTCTAATGTCTCCTTTATGCAGCCTGTTCAAGATATTCCAGTGACAAGGAATGGCCTGATCAAGATGTTCTGCCGATAGTCTGCTTCGTCATGGTAACAGAGCCATACCAAAGCCGGGGCAACACCCGTGTAAGTAGACAAGGTTGGAATGTTTCACTCCCGATGCTTCTCCTCCAATGTCCGACAAGTATTTGATTTGTCGTGCCAGATTCTGGCACTGGTGTCGTCACATCTGATTGCAGGATGCTGGGTTAAATAAAGCGCATTCAGGTGCACTGGATAGTGTGTGAAAAACTCAGGTGACAGTATGGACAGAACTGCCGTTACAGCTCTGATGCAGGCTGTGCTAAAAAGAAGTTTGTCATTACTGAAAAGTCCTTGGGAGATAATATTATCCAATGTGTCAGACTTATGGTTAATAAAACTTCACTCGGAACCCCAGTGGAAGTAATTAATTCAGTGTGGTGTGTAATTGCAAAGCTCCTCCAGCTGAGATGGCCTCCCAGACTAATTTCACGTTGAAGTCTGCCCAGCCGGAAGTGAGCAGGAGGATATATTGCGTGTCTGTGACCTTTCCTAGCCACATCACAGCCATAAATGAAGCTCCATCAATAAGCTGCCTTTGATCTTCTACACAGAACCCAACGAAGATGACATGCGTGTGATTTTTTTTTTTACACAGTGAGCCGGTATTCTGGAATCAGACAATTCAGATGCGTGGCAGGTGTGACGTATCGGAAAAGAAGAATAGAAGAAAATCAGAAGCGGCTTTAAAACTGCATTCACGGTCAATTATTCAACCATCGCTTTCAGATAAAACTCACGGAAGAGGGACAATGAAAAACAATGACCTGATACAGACTGACAGAAACCAGTTGAACTAAATACAAACAAATCGATGAGACAATGAGGCACACTTGGTCACGAGTGGCTGGAGGGAGCTGATTGTTTTACACATGAAACAGGTCTGATGAGAACCAAAACCATCTTCCACCCATATTCCAAGAAAACATAAATACTGGGTTAATTGAAGACTCTAATGAGAATGAGAGCATGTGTTTGTCGATATGTACCCCAGTCCAGGGTGGAGCCCACCTGCGGCAAAGTCAGCTGGGCTACAACCCAGATCACCTGTGACCCTAATGAGGAAAAGTGTCATATAAAAATGAATCGATGGAGATCTCATACAAGAGCTGTATCAAGAATATGTTCATCTTATGCAGCGGTTTCAACTGCATTCCATCACCCTGAAATATTTTGTCCCTCATATAGCTAAATAGGATGAGCAAACAACAGCTGTGTTGTTGGATGAAGTCTGATGATGATTCTGCATTTAGGCTCCAATTCATATTGAAAATTGACTGCAACATTTCCAGATAAGCCAATGCAGCCCAATAAAGTGTCATCCCTGAAGTGCGCAGCCTCCCATCCCGTGTGAGGGGACAGGCTGTTGCTGCAGTAAGCGCCATGCGTCGTCATGGTTGACTGCTGTCTTGGAAGAAGGGACCACATTGGTGGGATAATGTGGTCACGCCACATAGTGAATAGCCAGTTTTGGAGAGATAAAAGAAGGGGGAGCGTTCCATTACAGATGGCGATGGTATCAAGCTGAGGTTCTCGGAAAAGTGTTCCACAAGCAAATCCACCGCAACAGCCGTCGAGCTCAAGGTGCATCTGTTACCATGGTAGCGGGCCCAGGCAGCCCCTTTCGTGGCTGTCAATAGGAGGAGGAGAGCGAGACAAGCAATATGTTAGCCTGGCCTGCAGTTGGAGCCGAAAGAGACGTGCGTGCTTCGACGTGTTCGCGTCCCCTGTATGGACGCGTTCCCTGAGCGCATTACAGCAGTCCCCGCTCAAGATGCTGCACGCTGACACTGGCTCGTCACACGACATGAATCATTTAGAGTTGGAAATGTCACGTCTCATCAGTGTTGCGCATGCTTCAGTGCCCCCCCTTGCACCATTCGCATCTGCGAGACCGGGGACCTAATGCAGCACTTGATTCAAGAGGCCAGCTGAGATTGGCGGATGCAAACACACGTTTTATTGCTATTGATCTGAGCCGTTTGCAACACGATAGCCACGTTTGAGATGGAAGTCAAAACAATAGCGCGGGAGCATGTTTTTAAATCCTTCTTTTTATTGGTTGCTCATTTTCATCCCATTTTCGGCACCTCCCAATCATTTGGATGAACGGGATGATACCTTCTCACAGTGGAAAACGCTGATTTAACCTTCCTCGGCAGCCAGATATACAATCTCGTATCAACTGTACAAGCAACACATCTCAAAAGTCTGCCAAGTTACACTCTTGTGTTTCACCTCATCATATAAAACTAAACTTTTGTGGTTTTTTTGCTACACTTGTAAACATAAAAAAAAATCCACCTCATCATTCATTAAACAGTATATTGTTCCTTATCACCTTTATTACAAGATATTAGGCCACTGTACAAATAAGAGTGAATGATACAGTACAGTATTAAGACTGCTGCTTGAGGTTTGTCATTCAAAGCTGTTTCACGAAGTGCTTTAAGAATAGCCTACACACAAGTTTCAGAAGTTCTGCTGCTGGGCATGCTGGGGTTTTAGTTTGCCATGCATGAGTTCATATTTTAAGTGTTAGCCCTAACAAAACAAAAATCCTTTAGGACTCAATGTAAAAGCACAAAACAGAACAACTTGTCCGGTGCAGCACAGTATATACTGTACCTCATGAGGCTTGGCACACGCACAATGATGCACAATGCAATATAAATAGTTTATCAATAGGGTGTGTACAGTCATATCAACCAATCCAGGTGAAAGCCCGGAAGCTTACACACAAAGATGGGAGGTACATCATAAATAAATAAATAATGTCAGCTGCAAAATGGAACCCAAAAAAAAAAAAACAGGCAACATCGAGAATTAAATTGTGGGGGAAAAAAAATTCCTCAACATGGAAAAACAACAAATATCAGGTGTAAATTCACTGCAAAACACATGGTTTTCCCAAAACAAAGAGAAATAAAATACCAAACTTGTGCAAGAAAATGTATTCCCTATGTACAAATGTATAGACCGCTATATATAATTTAGACAGTTACAGCAGAAATGTGTGCTTTTGTTTCTATTTCATCATTTCTGCATCCTCGCCCTGATTTTTTTTCTCCCCCACCACTTCATCTTTCTCCAGCTATTAGATTTATGGCAAAACCCCTTCTGCTAGGGTATGTGTGCTGGTGGTGGGGATCCACCTGGGGGTCTCTTTTGCTGCCGGTGTGTGTGCATCACCCAGAAGGCCATGACTGCCTTGGAGAGGAGGGTGTGTGGAAGTGCTGCTTGCTGCCACATGAAACAAAGTGCGTATGTACAATGTCTTTGGATTACAACTGGTAAATATCATCATTTAAAAAAAAAAAAAATTCAAGAGTGTCTTTATGGGTGGGGGGTTGTTTCTAAGCGTCCGCCTGGGTCTTCTCTGTTCCATTTTTCATTGCATCGTCATTGCCAGCCTCATCCTCGATCACAACTGCAGATGACAAGGGGGAGAGTGTTAATGAAGAGGCTTAAGTGTCTGTCTGACTGACAAATGAAAGCTCATTATCTGTATGTGCCAAGTGGCTTGTAAATGCAAGCAAAACATCAATAATCATTTGAATGCATGCACAAGGCACCTGCGCTTGTATTTGAGGGGGAAGGATATGCAAACAAATGCATACATGATGAACTGTCTCTCACTATACTGTACATGCAAGTGTATGTTGTCGTTGTGCAGCACATCAAGTGCGCATGTGTGTGCGTGGCGGCACAATGCACGAACTCACACGTTGGGATTCACCATCGAGAATGTAGCACATATGTAGAGCCTCTTCAGCTTCATTTTGCAAATTAAGTCAGATTCGTCATGAAGCATTCATCCAGGGAAGGGGGCACTGTGCATTTTAAAAGCATTGCGCCACTGACTTCTGTTGCATTGCCAAAAGCCAATGAAAATAAATAAAAAGGAAGAAAGAAAATAAACACAAATGCAATGATCTGTGGGGGGGGGGGGGTATGGTGACACACACATAAAAGCCATTTGGCGCAGTCAACACAACACCCATGCCAAGCCATTTCATTTGGAATCAAAAAATGTACCCCGTTTGCTCCGGCCTATTTGTCCCAGCTTGGGCGGGCGTTTATTCTGCGAGCCGTTGAAGAAGTTGTTGGTGTCCTGAAGGCGACAAGTGAAGGAAAGGTGTCCCTCGTCGCCCTCGTTTCCATAATGACTCATTTTCTCTTCGTTGAAAGGCAGCACTTCCGACATTTCCAGATGCGTCTTTGAGCAAAAACCGAGGCGCACTAAACGTGAAGATCCTCGCCGAAAGCGTGAAAACAAAAACGTCGTCTTCAAAAAAAAAACAAAAAACAAAAGGAGGGAACAACAAGATAGAAAAAAATAAAACGACACACACGACGCAGACGCGATCAAGCCCTTTGCTGTTTACCCACAACACACGTGAGTGTCTCAGAAATAAGACACCGTGGAAACGTCCTCAAATCATCCAATCGTGCAGCTTGGGCAACATTTTTGAAAATTCCTTATTCTACTTCCCCCCCCCCTCTCCGTCGGTTGTAGTCTCAAAAAAAAAAAGATGATTGTGATGGAGAGTCTTGGTGGTTGCGCCCACTGCACGGAGTCGCTGGCACGGAAAATGTGTGGGAGAGATGCAAATAGAGGAGCGATGCAAAACGCGGATCCCCGGGAGACCTGGCGAGGGAGCTGTTTGATTGAGGGGGGAAATCACTGGTGCAACCCCCCCCCCCCAAAAAACCACTACACAACACACACACACACGCACACTTGCACGCACACGAAAGACACACGAGCTTTCACCAGGATGTGCATTGAGAAAGGATGGCGCGTGGATTTGCTGTGTGGGAAATCCACGTGACACGCCACCACTCGACGAAGCAGAGATGTCAAAGCTTTAGTTTACCGTCGTACTGTTTATTTGGACAGCAGGAGGCGAAAGCTCAGGCCAGTAGGTGGCAGTCTCTGTATGATTTGACATTTGGCCTCCTGGCGCACTTGTTTTTCCAGCATTCCAGACACGTGAACTGCTGCTCTACTCTAGTTCAGTGATTCCCAACCTTTATTGATCCGGGTCACATATTTTCCGTCACAAAAAACTCAAGGCACACCACCTGACAAAAATGGCACAAAATATATATACATATATAAAAAATAATGATGATCACCTCTCAGATTACGAGTGCTGAGTGGTCAGGTGCAGCAAGTATGTCTCTTTTAATTTAAACATTCAACTCAACTTTAGTTACCGAGCCGTTTAAATGCAACCATCGCTACATACAAAGTGCTGTACGTGGAGTAACAGTCCGACATACAAAACAAACACAGTTAAAACAATAAATTAATAACATCAAAACGGTGAACACCATAAAACACTATATCAATGCCAAGTCTGATGCCGAGTCAAAAGCCGTCGAAAAAAAGGGAGTTTAAGATGCGTTTAAAACATGGACAGAGAGGGGGATTGCCTAACATCCGACCGGCAACAGAAAAAGTTTGATCCCCTTTGAGCCTCTGCTTAATCCTCCGTACCTCCAATAGCGCTTGACCTGCTGACCGGAGGCACTGGACAGGTGCATAGGTTTGTCGGAGCTTGCAGAGATAAGGTGGGGCAAGACCATTTAAAGTTTTAAATACAACTCAAAGAATCTTAAAATCAACTATTAAAGGTATAGGGAGCCAGTGAAGGGAGGCCAGAATTTTAGTTATATGCTCCCTCCTATGAACTCCAGTTCAGGGGCGAGATGCAGCATTTTGGACCAACTGGAGACGCTTGATGGAGTGCATTCCAGTAATCCAGTCGGGATGTAGCAAAGTATGGATTACTGTTTTTAAATGCTGTTGTGAAAGGAGAGTCTTCACCTGACCCAGTTGGACAAGGTAAAAAAGGGTTGGCTTTAGAAAAGGGGCCAGGGGGCCCAAGTCAACAGGCTGGGATGTACAAGGGCCGCTGGGACCTAATACCATAACTTCTGTTTTGTTTTGTATATTTCTCAACAACTGTCGCAATACGTACAGTTGGTGGTCTTGGCTACACATTCGAGGAAAGAAGTGAGAAGCAACATAATGATGAGCAGGTTTCATTTATCACCTACCATGAAGACAGGTGGCTCAAAATATTGTGTTTTAGCAATGTTAGTCACGCAAGCACGTACACGCATAAACACATACACGCTCAAGGTCAACTGACTAGACTGCGTCTAGTTGCCATTTACATAATGATCGAGCAGCGTCACGTTGGTGTTATCCTGGACGGAATGTTTGCTTTTAGACATCTGTGTGAACCATCTGTGTTGATCATATGAATTCATGCTGCCGAGTCACTTACCACATCTCTTGAACGGATATTCAAATTGTGGACTACAGTATTGAGACACAGCACGTAATCAGTGCTTTTATTTTACTGGTGCAATGATGTGACCCGGTAAGACAATCGGTGCAATGTTATTGGTTAATGTTGCTGCAAATAGTGAACATTTCATTTCGGCAGGAAAGTTTTTCTATTTTATTTAGTTTTGGGGTTTTTTTGCCTGTAGGATTTATAACACTGTCACTGTCAAATAAATTCGAATCAAAAGCACATGTAGGGTTGTATGACCCATGCACAGCCTACACAAAGACAAAAGGAGCAGGTATAAATCAACCGGCTACTTTACTGGCACAAAGGCTCATTGGCTGGATAAATACATACATACATACATACATACATACATACATACATACATACATACATACATACATACATACATACATACATACATACATAAAATCTGACTCCATTTCTTCATTTTGTCAAAGGTACAGCTTTACGGCTCTATATAAAACCATTACATTATGAAACCATTTTTTACTCTATCTACAAATTTTAATGTGTTTAATTCATCAAACAAGAACCACGCTTAAGATTTTACAGCATTAGAGCTTTCAAGCAGGAAGATGCTCCTCTAGTAAGAATGGGAAGTCCTTGTTTAATTTATTCAAGGATAAGAGGCAAATAAAAAGGCATAGTTATTGTGTAGGTCAACTGGGACTGGCTCCAGCTCACCCGAGACCCTCATGAGGACAAGCACGACCCAGGAAATGACTGGGCGGACACAAAGAGGTGAAGTTTATTGACCTGGTCTGGGTACAGATGGACTTCTGTCACCTTGAATGACACCGTCTATTACCGTGTGTAATGAAGCTAATCTGAAGTAACACGACCTTCTGGTGTTGCCTCCTTGCTCTTATGCAATAGCTACAGTATAGGCGACCACTGTACATTTGCTACGGTGCACTGGCAGATGAGCTGGGCTAATCTCCTGGAAAGATTTAGAACCTTGCTTCCAGGCTATTTGCATTATGTACACTTTGCAACATTGTGACGCAACCAACCTTTTTTTTGTTTGTTTGGTTTTTAACCCTCTGCATGACATCCACTGCACTGTGGATGTAAAATCGTTCACTTTAGACTTAACCTGCTTGACCTTATATTGTTGGTGTGGCAACCCAATTGCACCATGAATGGAGGATGAACACTCTGCGTCCCCATCCAGGTTAATGTATGCGGCATGTCCTTCACAAGCATAAATCATCCATCACCGTGGACTACTGTACAGGTTTGAAATGACAAAATGTCATAATCAGCTTTGTGGCAAGTCAGCATCATGCACACGCACACACACACACACACACACACACACACACACACACACACACATCCCCCCTCTTGTCCCATTGAGTGCCAGATGAATAATTTATGCTCTACTCAAGAGAGACGGCTTTGTGTGACCTCCCACGGTCACGTTTCCTGGACAGGTGTTAATCCGCCAGAAAATCTAAACAAATTTCATCCATCCATTTTCTTAATCTGCTTATCCTCACGAGGCACACGGGCGTGCTGGAGCCTATCCCAGATGTCTTCGGGCAGCAGGCGGGGTACACCCAAAACTGGTTGCCAGCCAGTCACAGAACAAATTTCATCATGATTTCTTAAAAATAAATGTGTTGCATCTCTGATGTTTGGATGACAAGCCTAGCAACATTTCCTTTACATCAGAGGTTCCTCTCTGACATTATATCCATAAGAACCAGGTCGCCCCGAAGGACCACGTGAGTAGCCTGAAGGCCTGGTCTAAAAACAGCTCACTGTTCAGTAGTGTATGTGGTGGCGAACATGTAAACACTTGCAGAGATTTATAGAAGCCAAATGTTGAAAATTGATATCCATCCATCCATTTGATCTGAACTGCTTATCCTCATGCATGCAGGAGCCACACCCAGCTGTCATCGGGCAGTAGGCGGGGTACACCCTGAACTGGTTGCCAGCCAATCGTGGGGCACACAGAGACGAACAACCATTCGTGCTCACACTCACACCTAGGGACAATTTAGAGTGTTCAATAAGTCTGCCATGCATGTTTTTGGAATGTGGGAGGAAACCGGAGTACCCGGAGAAAAGCCACCCAGGCCTGGGGAGAACATGCAAGCTCCACACAGGGAGGCCGTAGCTGGAATTTAACCCGCTACCTCTGCACTGTGCGGTGGACGCGCTAACCACTGGACTGCCTTCTTGATAATTATGAGAAATCATTAATATAAGTGCCTTCACATTGAAGAATATTCAGCTTTTGTTTAAAGCTTTCAGCTTTTCATGTCTCGTATGCTTGGCAACATGTTTAGGTGACAAGAAGTTGCTCTCAATTTCAAAAGGTTGGTGATCCCGGCTTTACATCATTTGTTTGACCTTTCCTGGAAATTAGCCTGCTTTAAGGGGGGGGGGGTGGTTTGCTTGCAAGCCAATACGAAAACAAAACAGACTCCTAACATGTTGCTCATGGATTGCTGACATCCCAGTAGGTGATTGGCTGTGACTGACCCTCTCCCCATTCCCACGTGCCGCTGTTTCATTGACATTTAAAACCTGGCCTGCGCCACACACCCACAAGAAGACAACCTCGCTTGCATTGACACAGGAAGGTGAAGAATGGACCAAGTCAAATACACGGGAGAGCCGATGGACACTGAGGGCACGGGCTTGAGACGTTTGACCAAGGAAACGGTAAAAAAGCTGATCCACTACTCTCAGGAGGCAAAGAAGCAAGCGTACTGCCCTTACAGCAAATTCAGAGTGGGAGCAGCTCTCTTGACTGTTGACAACTGCTTGTTTACAGGTAGTGTACTTGATTAAAGCCAATTCTGAGAACATAGAATGGAGCAGAACAGGTGATTGAGCAATGTGTGTGTGCATGGGTGTGAGTTTTCTTAATTTTGCTGATATTTGACATAACGTGACTCCCTGCTATAAGCAAAATGAATTGAAGTAAAATGCATTTGCCTCATTACGCAAACATATTTTTATCTATGTGGCTAAACAGTCCAGTGAACCTCCATGACCATTCATTTTTATTGACTGATTTTTAGTCGTCCTACACCAACAGCAAAGGCCGCCCTGCCAGGGATTTTCAATCATTATCAACAGTTCAGTTTGTGTTGCGGGCCTGTGTAAAGCTTTCAGCTATTCATGTCTCGTGTGCTTGGCAAAATGTTTGTGAAAGGGGGGTTGAAGCGGGGGGGCTGCTGTCAAAGAGCTGAGAGTGCAAAGGCTGTTTGATTCCCAAACACACCAAGCTCACCGTACCAGCTGTTCTGTCTGAGGGGTCAATTTGCGGGAAGGTGCTTGTGTTGAAATGGACAGACAATGCACCCGCTGACTGTGACATCATCGATTAGAGCACAGGCCACGAGGCTACCATGATATTATTGACTTTTATGGATTCGTACACAACTAGAAATAAATGAATAAATATACTATCTTAAAACTTGTGTCATACTATAAAATGATGCTATTTCTAATTTTAACAAAAACTTATAGCCAGAAATAACAGATTACTGTTCGTGTTGTTATAGGTAGGACTCAGCTGGAATTTTTCTAGATGTGAAAAGCTCCAGGTGGTCAGAGACGGACGGCGCCACTGCTCTGTTTGAATTGGAATGAGAGAAGCTAGCGGTTGCGGCGTGTTCATTTTAATGCTGAGGTGTTACAGTATACATAATAACCTCTGATCCTAGAATCGCCCCGACTCTAATATTTCAAATCAATACATGTTTTTTCCTCCAAATTAACCTAACCTTAATCTAAAGTTTAAAAAATATAGCTTTAGAGCAAATCTACTAACTCCCTTGGACACTTAAACTGTCTGAGAAATGTCATATTCTGTAACTCCACCTTTTCTCGACTCTGCAGGGGCTTTGAGGCATTACGTTGCCTCAAGACTGAAGGTTTTAATGGTTTTTTTTTTTCGAAAGACAAAAACTGTGATTTGCTTGAGTAAGCCTGTTTTGTTAAAAAATACCTGAGATGCTTCATTACAAAAGAAAACCCTTAAGTCATGAAGGTAAGTTTGCATGCAAAGTCATTTCCACCTATCACAGCAGGGGTGCCCAAGTCCTGTCCTCAAGCGCCCTTTCGATGTCTCCCTCCTCCAAAACACCTGATTCCAACGATCAGCTCGGCAGCAAGCTTCACAGGACCCTGATAAACTCTCCTGAATGTCAACTCATCAAGATTGGAACACTATCATTCCCGCTTGATTAACATAGTGTACATGTTCCCCCATGCAGGATGCAACGTGGAGAACGCATGTTACAACCTGGGAGTATGTGCTGAGAGGAATGCCATTTCAAAAGCAGTGTCTGAAGGCTACACCGCATTCAAGGCCATCGCAATTGCCAGGTAGGATTATCGGTATAACTATTACCTGAAAATAAATAACATCCATGATCACTCAGGCATGCGGCACCGCTGCTTTGTTTAAAAACATGACTTGAGTCCACAGGGTTCAGTTTGTGACCCCGTCGAGGCTATAAGAGACTCACTGAAGCCAAGGGAGATGTTTAACATTAACCTGAGGGTTTCTTGTATGACGGTTGCTTGTTTGTGTAGTGACCTGAGTGACCAATTCATCTCTCCGTGCGGTGGCTGCAGGCAGTTCATGAGAGAGGTACATACTGAGCACTCACTGGACATTCCATTAGGTACACCCGCACCACTTTAGGGTTGACAGCGATTGACTGAAGGCGTGACGACTGTTGTGGCGAGTGCATAATGGCATAAATAGCCACAGCACTTCGACTTACATCATGTGTTCTCTCAGTTCGGGTCCAGCTGGGACGTTTACCTGTCAAAGCCTGACGGGTCGTACACGAAGATGAGCGTCAACCAGCTGCTGCCGGCCTCATTCGGGCCCGAAGACCTGGACATGAAAAAAGTACTGGACATCTCCAATGAGTACTGAAACCGCACGTTACTGTCACTTTCAACTGTTGGCAGGTTGAAATTATGCCGTATAGGCCTGTCAACACGACACTGCAATTGCTGGATCGGTTCTTGTATTTTATTGTAGCTGATGTATATATGGTAAAAGGTATGCTCTGTTAATTCCTTATCAGAAGTTGTTTCACAGGTAATGATACTGGTTCATTGAATGTGATAATTAGTCTTGTATTAATAAGCACACTGAATCATGTATATTCCAAAAAACATTTATTCGTTGAATGGGAATAAAATGTCACATACTTTCATAAATAAACTTTTCAAACTCTTCTAGTTGTATCGTCAAATGCCATAAAAGACAATTATTAAGTCTTCAGCTGCAAATTATTTTATCACATCATTAAAAGAGATGAAGGTGAAACTACAAGTTGTTAGTGCAAGTTCACTAAACGTTTATGCGTGGGAGACGACCTCCATAGTTCATGCATTTAAAATAGGAAAAACATGGACCGTTTCTATGGTTCACGCTTCAAAATGTCAACTGGTTTAATTATCTGTTATGGGCTGTGCCTGCCTGTGGTTCAGTCATGAAGAGGTGTAACGCAGATCTGATTTTGAATTTACCTTCCAACATTTTGAACCACAGACATTAACATAAACGCTTAAGCATGTGATGGCCGTAATAATAATTTCATCCAATTTGAGCATTTATTTAATATCATGCTAGTGTGCTGAATTGCCCATTACTAGTATGCTCTTTTTCTGTAATGGTAAAACAATTGAGTGCACGAGTAGAATGGCTGTCCAACTAGTGAATGTTTTGGGACTACTGTGCTGAAGGTGATTCCACTTTGTGGTACGTGGGCACCCTCTAGCGGTACGGGAGAATCATTTCATTAAATATTCAAATTTTGCATTGTGTTCCAGTTCAAAGTTCTTCCTAGTTTTTTGACGGACACTTAGACCTACAACGTTGCTGTATTTTAGTGCTGGTCAAGATAGTGGTTTGAGAACCACTGTATGTCGTTCCTGCATACTACTAGAACAACTAGGACAGACCGGCAAAGCACCAGATGTTAATTGGAAGAATTTTACATCACCGGTAATACCAGTACAATGTAGATGTTGACTTGTGCACAACTGTGCCACACGAGTAGCGTAGTTGTTCTGATGTGTCCCCTAGTCATTCTATTGGTGCTCTCATCTTACGAGTGAGGACAAAGAGCACACTACTTTGATATGGAATAAATGCTCATACCATAGTAGTAAAAGGTTTTCTCGGTATACATCTTCGTGATTGAACGATTCAGTTACAGTGTTTGTGCGCCCCCGCGCCCTTCCTCAAATGCAAATAAATAACAAAATAACACATAGGTCATCATTGGGCTCCATAAAAAATAAAAGCATCCTAAATTCTGGAAACTAACAATCACCACGCCAGCTGTGGAGAGGCACAAACTCTTCTGCAGTTACCTTGAAAAGAAAGCAAGAGCACAAAGGGTGAGCACTACCTTGGTGCTGCCGGCCTCAGCTCTCCGTCGGGATGTTCTCAGCGGCATTGAGGGAAGGCCAGGAAGGCACCTGCCATCTAGGCAGAGTACCCTCCATTAACCTTTCCATCCACAGCCCCAGCCGGTCAAGCTTGTGGTGCACCTCTATGCTTGTGGCTCTAGTGGAGCCTCTCTTGGACCTAGCCCCATCATCTCTGGAACGGGATCGAGAGCCTGAGCTAGACCGAGACCTGGATCGTGACTTTCTCCTGCTTTCAGAAGAGAAAGACGACTCGGACACTGACGAGGCGTCACTCAGGTCGTCTCCAGTGAAGACAGGTCTGAAGTGGCAAAAGTATTTCTTGTAGCCGTTCAGGGCCAAGACGTGGCCAGAGTAGTCTGACGAGTCCTCATCCTCGTCGAAATGACTTCCACGGCACGATGTGTCTGAGCACGAGCGGAGGAGTGAGGGCATCCAGTGAAGATGCTTGTCAGCGTTGAGGAAGGAGAAGTGGATAGTCTGAGTCCTATGGTGGGAGAAAGTTTCAAATGACTTAACTGGCAGTTGAACACATTCAAGCAAAACCAATCTGTGATCAACATCTTGACTGCAATCCGAATATCTCTAAGGGGAACAAATGCAATGCTCAACATAAATCAGTACACCCCCGAGTTTCCTTTAAGAATCAGTAGTGCTAACTAGTGTACCACAGTGCCCTCAATATTTTCCAAACTGAATTTGTTGTCAAAAATATTCCTTATACGGCAATCCCTTCTCCGCTGTGGGGTTACATTCCTTTCAATTCAATAAACTGATGCCAAAACAGAAAAAAATGTGTTGATAACGATGCTTATCATTCCTGAGCTGCACAGAAAGATTTCCGGCACTTACCCAGAGAAAGAAAAGACCTCCTTGGCGAATTTGCACAACAAGGCGTTCTTTGAGGCGTTGGTGAGCACCAGAACAACATTGATGTGACCCGGCCGCAACTTCACCAAGTTACTGGTGTACGTGACGTTAGTCAGCTCTGTGACCTCCACAAAATCCTTCTTGGGGGGGCGGCTGCATGGACCAGGGAAAAGAGGAAAGTACAAGTGTGTGTTACAGTTAAGTGCAGAAGTATTATTTAGATGGCAAAGAATACCTGTGCAGGACAGTGAAATCTTCAGTTGCACACCGTTTTATTACAGATTGCTAAACTAGTCCAAGATTAGATGTAAGGGTCATTAAAGAGAAATGTCCCGATGTCCTAGTTGGTTGTTAGAGGTTTATTCTCACAGGAGGCATCAGGTTCCGAGCTTGAATCATTCTCGATTAATAACAAAAGAACCCAGAAAATAGAATAAACCACGGCTTCCTCCTTGGCCTAAGCCCCGCCCCTTTTTGGTTGAGTAGAAAACAAGACTTTGCAGATGTAGTGCTCAAAATGTATGACCACGGTTACCTGGAGGTAGTGGAACGACTTGACGGATCATCGTTAGTTTGAGGTTGCTCCTTTGGTGCTGATTTCTGGGGTTTGTTTTCTCCTGCTTCACTAAAAACAAATCAAAACAAAAAAGAAAAACCCCATAATAATACAAAACTCAATAGAAAAGGGAATCCTCTATATCAACAAAAATAGCTGTCCCTTACTCAGCTGGTAAACTGTATGGGAGAAACCTTCCTCACTCACCTGAAGGCTTGAATGATGACTGTCCCGAAAAAAATGAAAAGAGCCGAGAACATCAATGACAGGATGGGCATCATCTTTTGCCTTGAAAGAAGACACATCACATCTTATTGGGAGGACTTTGGTTGTGTAGCGACATGACAAAATACTAGTTTGTCCTTGACACTGAAAAAGTTCAGAACAAGCTTCATACGAAGCTGGTCTTTCGCCATATTGAACATATGAAAAAAAATACACATTTTAACTTATAGAGCATACCAATTTCTTCCTCTTTTCATGAGAATGTATAACTTAAAGAACATGATGAAAACGTTTGTCTTACCAGTTTGAGTAGAGAAGTTCATTGTAAATTTGATGGAAGTGATCACAGGCAGCATTCAGCCACTCAATCAGGAAAAACTGAACAGAGAGTGAACATTTAAAACGGTTAGCAGTTTGGGGAAAAACGCTCTGCGGTGTGCGCCGTATCTTACAGGGGCCATTTCATTGTTGAGCTCCGGCAAGGTAGCGTCCGAGGTCAGATAGGTGGGGTCCTTCTGAACGAGCTCCAGATGCTCAAGAAGGCGGGACTTGTCTTCTTCGCTTCCATTCCATCCGCCAATCACAGAGCGGTACAGCACCTTGCCAGCCGGGCTCCGCCTCTCAAGAATAACCACCTGATGGTGGTGCGGAAAAACACACATTTTTGATGACTGTTGTATTGCACTTACAATGACACCTTTCTCCTCACAGAGTCAGTTTTGACATACATGCTTTTAAGAATCATATAAACTTGTAATGAATGCTCTTCTTGATGATGCAAACCAAAAAAGTTGTGTGTGTGTGTGTGTGTGTGTGTGTGTGTGTGTGTGTGTGTGTGTGTCGCACTACTGACCTGGGGAGAGACGACAGCCTGGTTGGGAAGCAGAGCCTGGCAGAGAGGCTGCTGCCGGTGCTGGTAAACGTACACAAACCGTAGCACCTCTTTCCTGTTCAACATGGCAAAGTCCAAGAAGGCCTTATTTTGGGCAAGAAAAGCTTTGTCGTCGTCGGTGATCAGCAGCACGCAATACCTGCAAATACAATGGTCTCGTTTCATTCACTTTTCTTAATGTGGGGAATCAAAGCGATGATCTCTTTGATGTATTACTTCCTCCGTCTGTGAAACTGCTTGATGGGACACAGCTCATCAAACAGTTGCTGATTGACCAGACGGGGAACCTGCAGGAACTTGTTGTTGGAGACAAACACATCCATGATCTTCCAATTCAGTCCTTCAGCCTGGAACATAAAAAAAGAAGTGTAAGACAAAAGATGTGAGGTATTTTTTGATCAAAGGTCAAAAGGTGAACAGCATGATGAAGAGGACTTTCTAATAGTGATTCTAATTTAACCCGAAAGTTTGTCGGTTACCTGTTGCAATTTTGTCATGTTGTCCCTCCTCATGAGAGAAGGGACAAAACATTGAACGTTGGGCATGTACATCTGCGCATATTTGCTTCATCGTGAAATGTCATGCAAATTCCCAAGTCAGTCGTGTATTTTTGAATTCGATGCCTAAAAAACCCATTATGTCCAAAAGAGCCGACATGAGGGATGACAAGTGATTTTCTTTAATCTAACATGGTTATCTTAATATGACCCAGAGCTCTACATGTGTGGAAAGTACCTGGATGATGTCCACTGGGTTTTTGGTGTCCTCCTTAAAGAGCAGCATGATGGGAATGTATGAGTTTATGTTGAACTGGCGCAGGAGCTGGATGTTGTGTGTGTCGCCCTGGTCGACGTAGCCAAAATGAACATAGTCTCTGAAGGCGAATGCTGTTAACTGGAGAGCACAAGGAGGAAAGCACTTGCATTGGGGATACATTTTCAAAACTGGCAGAGAACAAGATTTCAAATATTAACTGGCTTTGAAGTACTTTTAACACAAAAAAGGTGTGTTATTGCTGCTGCAGCAAAAAAAAAAAAAAAAGCCTGCATAGTGCATACACGGTTCTTCGTATTAACGTACTGGTAATACTTCAGAGGAGTAAACCTGAAAACAAGCCTCACCTTGTAGACAATGGGAACGTTGAAGTCTTTGTCAAACAAAAGGACGTTGGGCTTATTTCCAACATGCCAGCTGTCCAGAAAATGCTGGTAGTTGTCATCGGTAATCTGGGGAAGAAACAAAAATCTCAAAATTCTGGAAAATGTTTGCACAGTTCCCACAATGAATGCACTGAATTCATTTCTGACACCTCAACAGAATTTCCAAAATCTATCTGCATTTTTCACCCCTTTGCACCCCCGACAGAAAGTTCTCTCTGTAGGCTTTTCACCTTTTCCACCAAATTCTTGGGAAGAAGGTCCTCAATGAACTGTCGCAGGTGTTCCCGGACGACGGCCTGATGGAAGAAGGACACTCTGCCGTTCACCAGTCCGATGATGGAGGGAGCGTGGTGAGCTCCCAACTGGTTGGCCAGACGAGGCTCAAAACCCAGGTCCACAATGCCAATGCCGACACCTGAACATATGAAGTGAGGCTTTATCTGACACTGGACAGGCAAACAGTGTTTGAATGGGCTTATTACATTTTTTTTTCACCTTTGCGTTGGCGATTAACTTTGATTAACTGTTGCAATGCTATTTATAATTCAAGTGATGCTAATGGACAGCACAGCAAACATCAAGTTCATGTTAGGGAGGAAAAAAAAAAAACGCGGTATCATGACATCAGCATTCGTCTTACTGACCCAATGGCTCAAGTTCCTGCACGGTCTCCTTCCACACAGGCTCTATGTGGATGCACGCAAAGCACCAATCGGAGGTCACTTTGATAAGGTAGGGTCTCTTGTGGCTGTCTGGAAGGACATCGCTGTTAAACTGAGCGTGGTGAAGAAAGTACTTGCTGTCTGCAAAGTCCCTGAACCTGGACAACAAAGAGATGATATTGGCCATTTTTTAACGACAAGTAAAGTCTGACCACACGATACAAAACTTAATGAAGCAAATTTTGATGAATTAACCCCCAAGCCAGGTCTCAAGCTGCGAAAACACCTGACAGTTAAGAATTTGAAAAAGGCTACATTAAAACAGTGCCTGTACTGTTTTTATGAAGGAGAAATTTGGTGAATTTAGACTGGATTGTAAAAAAAATTATTTAAAATATGGGAGAGTAGCATCCTGGAATGGAATGTCAAAACCTTAGAGGTTCCTTTGTGCCGTTCTTGAATTATCATCTGATCTGTTTTTTTTTTTGATTGAACAGCTGATTTTGTATTTGTTCTCTTGAAAAAGTCAAAAAACAAAAAAAAAAAGGTGATTTTTATGGTTCGTGTTGTCAGAACATTCAGCCAATCGCATTTAACACAAGCAGATTCAAAATTTACAGCTAATCCATATTGGCAGTGATGGTTGGATTTCATGAAATAGGAATCGGCAGCATGAAACCCTAATTGGAGCACCCCGAATAGATGATAAAGAAACATGGACATGTGTTGTTACCTGGAGAATTGAAAGAAAGACTCATCAAAGTAGAAGCCGTTTTGGAAATGTTGACGCCGTGACTGGCCATAGGGCTCGTTTTCATCTATCTGCCCATAGCGGTCAAAGTTGGCCCTTCGCTCCTCATTAGACAAAATCTGTGTGCAAAACATGACGAATACATGTTAGTTACATCCTCCCTTTTGTTTTTTCTGACACAGGGCAGTTCTCTAGATTACATTAAAGGGGAAAAGTTGTAGTTTGGATTTGAAATACAGGTACATCTTTTCTGACACACCTCATATAGAAATATGACAGGTGTATTGATCCAAAGGGACGAATGACCAAAAATCAAGAATAAGCAACAGTTTCCCAAGATGGCACTGTAGTTGGCAGCTATTTGCAAGGGCTCTTAAGAGCTCTGCTTTTTGGGGGGAGATCATGTGGTTCCTGTTATCCTTCATTGTGGACTGTTTTCAGTGTTTCGGCCACGACACTCGTTGAAGGGAAAAAAATCTGTGCTTAATGGTTGCGCCTTCTTGGCAGTATGCGTGTACCTGCACTGATTTAGATTTTGTGTGTTGCATTATTTTTGTTTTCTGTTGAAATTATCTTTAAAGCGCTTTGTTACAGCTGCTGTAAAAGCACCATATAAGTGAAGATGTCTTGCATAGTTGTTGAATACCACACCTCATACGACTTTGAAACCTTGATGAACATATCTTCAGCAATGGGGTCTTTATTCTTATCTGGATGCCTGGGGGAAAAACACTGGAAATTAGAAATCGTGAAATAAGAACAGGTTGAAATGGCTAGTGGAATGACAATCACAGACGATCAGCTGTCATTCAGTAGCACACAACTCGGGAGTTGCAGATTACTCACCATTCTTTAGCAAGGTTCTTATACGCCTTTTTGACTTCGGCTTGGCTCGCACTCCTGCCGACACCCAGGACTTTATAGGGGTCATATCTAGAGGTTGTTTCCACCAGACCCTGAGTAAAAACTAGCAAAAAAATGGCGAGCGCCAGTGGGCATGGCCCAGGATGTCGGCTGTTTCTTCCAGCAGTCATCGCTTGTCACTCTCAGACTACGCTAACAAGTAATGGCTTTAAAGCAAACCCCTCGGGTAACGATACACAAAGCAAAGCGATAACATTAAAATCACTCCTTACTCCCTCACGATTAAGGCAGAAAGAGACATTCCGGTGTTTCAAAAGCCGTAGGTTATTATTTTTCCGGCTAATCGTACACATTAGTAAAATGTCACCAAATGAGTTTCCGGTTATTCATGTCAAAGTAAAATCGAAATGACCATATCTTGAAACGTAGGTACGTACGTGGGTAAAGACTGTTTGTTTACATTTAACTGATTCCGATAAACCTTTTTTTCATATTCCATGATTTATATCCATTTAACTGCTAACAATGGCAATAACTGTAGCTGGACAAGCATAAAAGTATTCCCTTCTGACAGCGTATTTGTGTTTTGCATTGCTTCCTCAAAGCTTTATGATTTATTTTTGGGAAACCGACATAGTGGGAGACAATTTAGCAAAACAGCTAACAACAAACAGAGTAGTACCGCGGTTTAGTTAAATAGGAACGACTTAGTAAGCAAATTTTATTTACAATATGATGTTATAGAGGCCAAATACAATTAAAAAGTCAGTTGTTCAGTCTTAATCACATAAGATCTAATTTTGAGGGTAAAACGGTTGCAGCATTCCCAAGCAAATGAATGGCAGTGATGAGATAATTCCATTTTCCACATCCAATATGACGGCATTGTTGACGTACGTCTATGGGTAAAATGCGTAGTTGGTCTTTTATTATACAATCACGGATGTATCGTGTTGAATCTGCCTCCTCTCGCTTTCATTTTTTAAGACGGGAACGTGACCTTGTAACTATACACAAATCTAGGCGATAAAGCATGATACTAAAACATGTCATATTTGCGTTCAATTTTATTTTTCTCTTTATGGGGCTAAGTTTCCGGTTTCCTCTACATCACCACCTTCCTCATTGCGTAGAGGAAAATCAAAATATGACGTTTGGCCCAGTGCTGGCCCTTCGGGTTTAAACCATTCTATTTGTGTTTCGTTTTGTCGTCGCCCAATTTACGCACCATGAGTGCTTTTGCTTTTTGTGGAGACTTTTTGAGCAGGGCGTCTGGACTCGGTAGCCAACGTCAACGTTAGCAAAGCTGCACGGCCTGCTGTGGCTCGACTATTCACGAACTGGCCACCTTAGTACTCAGGTAAATACAAGAACCAACAAATCTAGCATCATGAACTAAATACATTCATAGAGCTATCGCTGGAAATAACAAACACGTAAACAAAGATAAATACTATACAGTACACAGACGACGTCTCTTCGTTAACAAGCTGAGAGGCTAGTTACTAAAGTAAATGTAACATCATCCTTGCCCAGCCATCTAAACCATAATCCGAGAAAGTTAAGGCATTTACGCAATTTTCTTTTGCAATACTGATAGAACAAATGTATTGCCTCTGATATTGAATGACTGTATTTCATTATATGGCAATGGAGTGCATTTAATATCAATCATGAATCATCAGTCATCACTGATTTAATATGCAGAGCAGGCTTTATGAGGATGGTGTTTAGTGGTGTTTCTGCAGCTCTTTAAGAAATGCTACCTCTTAATGGTACTGGTCACTTTTAAATTGTTTTTTTTTCTTCACCCAATTCATTATTTTACCATTTAATTAGCCATGATGTATGTAAAAAAAGGGACAAAGCAGTTCCGTGGATTGCAAAAATTGCCAGTACTTGACGCCTCCTCCAAGAAGGTTTATCATTGCCTATAGATTCCACAAGATGACAGCAAAACAAGACATGAAGCTCCTCAACGTACCTCAATGTAGTTCCTGATTTACGTAGATGTAAAACTCAGAGTCTGCATTTAAAGCACATCTTGATTGTTTTATTTCAAATCCATTATGGATTTGTACAGAACTGGAATGCTGAAAATTGTGTCAATGTCCAAATATTTATACCGGACTGTATGTTTTGATTACATGACTACATAAATGTTTTTTTTCACCTTTATGACAGGCTCAGCACCATGAATTTGGTTCGCCTAGTGTGTCGCCACAAGACTGCGCTGTTCCTGTGCACTGTGTCCACTTTTGCTGTGGTCCTTGTCTTCTTGGCCAAATGTACCTCAGAAACCCTGAAGCAAGGTCATGCTGATCCACCGGGCTTTGCCCCGCGTGCAAGCGCTTTACATCCCCGTCCAGAGCAGCATGACCGATCTGCCCTTTCCAAAGACATGTCAGCATTCCTCGTAGTCCTCATCACAACAGGGCCCAAGTACACAGAGCGCAGGAGTATCATCCGGAGCACATGGCTGTCCAAGCGGGACTCAGATGTTCTGGCCATGTTTGTTGTAGGAACTCTGGGGCTTTCCAACGAAGACCTTCAGAACCTCAACGTAGAGCAAGGTCGGCACAAGGATCTACTCCTACTGCCTGACTTGAAAGATTCTTATGAGAACTTGACCATGAAGCTACTGCACATGTACTCCTGGCTGGACCACAATGTGGACTTCAAATTTGTCCTCAAAGCAGATGATGACACATTCGCTCGCTTGGACCTTCTTAAAGAGGAGCTGCGCGGGAAGGAGCCCACTCGCTTGTACTGGGGTTTCTTCTCAGGCCGAGGGCGAGTCAAGACAGCTGGGAAGTGGCGGGAAAGCTCTTGGGAACTCTGCGACTACTACCTGCCCTACGCACTAGGCGGTGGCTACATCCTGTCGTCCGACCTGGTACGATTTGTGCATCTTAACGCCGGCTACTTGAAGATATGGCAGAGTGAGGACGTGTCTTTGGGCGCATGGCTGGCTCCGGTGGATGTTCGTCGGACGCACGACCCGCGCTTTGACACGGAATATAAATCGCGCGGTTGCAACAATAAATATTTGGTGACACATAAGCAAAGTCTGGAGGATATGCTGGAGAAGCATCAGATGCTGCAGCGTGACGGCAGGCTCTGTAAGGAGGAAGTCAAGCTGCGACTCTCATATGTGTACGACTGGGGTGTGCCCCCCTCGCAGTGCTGCCAAAGGAAGGAGGGCATTCCTTAATTTATCTCCCTGTCACTCAGCTGAAGTCGACATCCAGTCCCTATTCAAGTCTTTTCTCATTGTGTTTACACTACAAGCCCCATTGTAGCTTTGTGTTCTCCTCATAAATCACCAAATGATTGGATTCGATTTGAGTGGGATAAAAATTGAGAACATTTGGGGAAATGGAAGAAAGGTATTACAAGCTTGTACAATTTTGTGAGGTATCATGATGAAAGCACACAGTATTATATATTAATAAGCGATGCTTTTTTTTTTTTAAGGCATTTCTCCTTTTCTACAAATTAAGCGCTCCGAGATCCTTGTAAGGATAAGCAGAAAATATCCAGGATGGATGATATCCAAGTTGAGAGCCTTGTCCCAGTACACTTTTTTTTTTTCATTAGTAGGCCAACTTCAGCATACATGTTAACTAATAAGGCAAAACTGACAATTGTCTGCTATTGGTACGACTAGTGACATTCTAATATTCTACTAACCAATGTCAAGCACTTCTCTATGAAATGGGCTTTCGCTTGTATCGTGTTTTTCCACCTACACGGTTCTCAAAGCACTTTACACTGACTCCTCACTACCCTACTGATGACAAGAGCAGCATCAGCAGCAACTGGGTTCAATATCTTGCCCAACGACACTTCGACTTGGTTACAGGGGGCGGCGATCGAACCCACAACATCTAGGTTGTGTGATGACCATTATGCCACTGAGCGATGCCGCCCCGTATTGGTACGAGTAGTGCCCGATGTCAAAGAGATGGCACAGTTTTGCCTCAGTAGTAACGTAGTCCTGCATCTAGTATGGCAAAGTTGTCCTACAAGTGAGGACAGATCATACTAGTACGTGGACCTTAAAGGGGGAGTTTGCATTATTAAAACTAGTGAGTAAGAGTTTCACTAATGAGCACGGTTGTCAAATTCGCAGAGAACTATCCAGCTTGCAGCAGCACTAGCAATGCTAAGCTTGCATTCGAAAATTTCTGCCTTCAGTAGAAGCCTTCCTCAACCTATGTCAATACAGTCCATTGTGTTCTACATTTCCTTCCGTTGAACCTCTTCCTAACATTTGTACACACTTTAAAATTTGTTTGAGGGTCTTTCAGCCTGGAGATTCATACATTCCATTATGTGATTTTTTTTTTTTTTTTTTTTTTTAATATTTGTATTTATTGTTAATTTATTATGCAGTAAGCACACTGGTTGTTATGCCGGCATATGAGGAAGCACAATGAATTTGTATTTCTAAAATTATGATTAGAGGTCCACAAGGTTTCCTGCAAATTGAGTGGTACAGCGTGTGAAAGACAAAATGGTTGAATGTGTTTTGTTCAGTAGGCCTTCTTGGTTCTTCATGAGGTCAGTCGCATGTGCATTGGGTGTGATGACAACGGACAGACTAAGTCAACACGTTTCTACAGCACTGTGCAGTATCGTTGCTGACTACAGACTCAATGTTAGAAATTGTCATGGGGACCAATGCCAGCAGGTCCTGTTTTTTTTTTTTTGGTGATTTTTCATCTCGTCTGATGTTTTCTAAGTTTACATTACTCTGTGATCATGCAACACATGTTCCAAAACATCTAACAACTGTGACAATAGAGTGGATGATGATGATATGTTTTTAGTACTATTTTGAACTGGTTTTGTGTTTTTGTTTTTTTTAATTGTACATCATCCTCCCTGATATGTTATTAAAATGATGTTATTCTGTCGCATGTATTCATTGTCTGGGTGGTTTATACATTTCCAGCTTGCAACAACAATCCTTCGTTTGTATTAACAACTAAAATGCATTTTATTTATACAGTATAGGTAACATTGAGGACAGTGAAGGTTACCTTGCAGTAATAAAAACGATAGACTGCTAGACTGACATTTTTCAGTATCCAAGCATTTCTATGTCATGCTGTGCGGAGTACCATATCAAAGTGCCCTAGCTTAAAACTGGTAAAGTAAAGCCATCTGCACACGGTGCACAGCCCAACAGCCTGGGTTCTCCTGGAGGCAAGAAAGTTTTCCTTTCCTGTGTCTACATCCACGGGGACACCGTGTGACCACACAGCACCCCAGTGAGCCATTGGAGTAAGTCGGACAATTGTGTATGAGTGGCTATGTTACTTAAATCCTGTAAATGTATTTGGAACGTGTGTGAACGCCATCCTCAACAAAATGTGCCTGAACACAGCACAATTCTGGTTCAGATGCAGGTGATTTCTCACCATCAGCCATTTTTCCTGAGTTGAGCAGGTGTGGGAAGTGACAAATCGACGTCACGATGGCACCAAAATCAATTCTGCTTGTACAGCCATTTTTCCTGAGTTGAGCAGGTGTGTCTTGCAACCACAAAGTGGACAGGAACATGAATGGGAAGTGACAAATTGACGTCACAATGGCACCAAAATCAATTCTGCTTGTTTTTTGCAGGCCTTTTCCTTTTAAAGGCTATTGGATGCAAATGACAAATTACATCGATGTACAACTTAAATCATGACACGGTCATTTTGACCAGTTATGGATAAAACAGTGGAAAATGTGGGTTTTGAGGTTATGGGACCTTTAAAAGGCAAACCGCATGATCGAGGTCCATGATAAATGCTAATGCAAATCTCCTATACTGCAACACCTGTAAAATTTGACAGCTGTGTTGAACTCAGTCAAGCAGCGGCCATCTTATGTTTACAACTTTGACCTTTTCAACTTCAGAGCTGACTTCACAAGTGTAACATCCTCAAACATGCAAACGACGAATTACATCGATGTACAACTTAAAGCATGACACGGTCATTTTGACCGGTTATGGATAAAACAGTGGAAAATGTGGGTTTTGAGGTTATGGGACCTTTAAAAGGGAAACTGCATGATCGAGGTCCATGATAAATGCTAATGCAAATCTCCTATACTGCAACACCTGTAAAATTTGACAGCTGTGTTGAACTCAGTCAAGCAGCGGTCATCTTATGTTTACAACTTTGACCTTTTCATCTTCAGAGCTGACTTCACAAGTGTAACATCCTCAAAACAGGTGTCGAAAAAAAAGAACACATTTTGTGATGTTCAGCGGTGAGACATTTCAATCCATGCAAGTGAATTTACTTCTTTGCCGTGAAGACCCCCTCCAGTTGGACCTAAACAGAAGGACATGTAAGAATGAGAAAATAAGACATAGTTACAATGCTTGCTGTATTATTGTGATGCAAGACCTTGAGCTGCTGGTTGTTTTTCCTCAGGGTCTGAATCTCCTCTGTGTGCTTCTTTTCCTGCGCTTGCTGTTTTTCTGTTGCCATTTTTTTCACATCCACACATTTCTTTTTTTGTTGTTGCAGTTGCTCCATCAGCTCCTCTACTAAATTCTCCAAATCTGAAATCTATACAAGTAAAAAGAGACTAAGCAGCAATAGAAGTACCCCAAATGTGTTGATGAAACTTTGATAGCTTACAGTACATCCACTACTCACAAAAAGGTTGGGATGCTGGGCTTTCGGGTAAAATTTCATGATTAACCTAAAATGCTGTTCAATATTTCAGTTATTTTACAAAACGTTCTTTTCTTTAACAGGGAACTGAGCAGCAAAATTCACAACAGGTGTTTGATCCAATCAATAAATTTCTCAGGATGTCCACTTCTATGCCTTTCTGTAACTCCTCCAGTCTCTGTCTCTCTATTGCAACCTTCTGATGACTTTCTGTGACACTCGAAGCTCAGTGGCTACTTCCCTCTGAGAACATTGCTTTGAAGCCTTGCTAAACTACTACGTGTCATCTTAGTCTTATGATGTCGAAATTTGAATAGCATGATGACAAAGACTCCATTGGATCAAACATTGTGTATTTAGCTCCTTGCTATAGAAGCTTTGCAAAATTTGTGTAATATTGAAGCGTTGGGCACATGAATCCAAAACTTTCGAGATGGTGAAATTCGATCCACCAGTGAAGGCTACAGGTTAGGTTCATCCTGAAATTTAATCTGAAATCTGAATATGCTGAGCTGTCTGTGTTTTGTAGTTCTCCATTCTTACTTTGTCCTTCAGGGCCACCTTGTCCTGTTCATCATGCAGGGCTTTCCTCATGCCAAAAACCATACTGCTCTCATAGAACGCCTGATAAGCAGCAATGGTCATTTGGATCTCGTCTCTTACACGCAGCAACAGGAGGCCCCTCTCGACACAAATGAGGACCACCTGTCTGATCAGTTCATCTAACGAATGACAAATGTAGATATAAAACTGGAACACAACAAAGTGAAGTGTACACATCGAGTCCTTACCAAAGCACTCGGTGTATAACTGCCTTCTCAGAGGGCAGATTCCAGTCTCCATGGCACGGGTGTGCAGTAGCTTCTTGTCCAATTCTTCCTCCAGATTCACCACATCCACTCGAGTGGATGGTTCACTGCACACTCTCTGAATCCACTCTTTGTTTGCCTCCTCCCATTTCCTGGCAGGGCGAGACGTCAATAAATAACAGTTTGGTGACACTGACAAAGACCAATTTGGATACCTGGGTGGAAACATGAGATTGAGAATGTCCTCATTTTTCTGCTTGATGTCTTCAAGCGTGGCTGTTATGGATTTACGAGGACGTAGCAAAGAGTCCGAAGGCTGCTGAGGTTTTGACTTCAGGACTTTTGTAGGACGTCCCTGAAACAAGAAATCTTTGTATTTAAAATTCACTTCAACAAATTTGAGCCAGGCCCGGGCCAAACGTGCACCATATTTTTGTGCCGAATCATGAACTAGTTTCGAGTCAGAAAAAGTTGTGCAGTTGTGAGGGACCAAAATCTTGCTCGGCCAGATTACAGAATGGCTGGAGCTAAGCCAAGCGTACCACTTGCAAGATAATAGCTCTACAGTATGCTTTGCATTATGAATGTTCAAAATTTTACAAGCAGACTGAAGTTGTCTGTCAATTAGTCAGCAGGATATTGTTGCCAATAGTACACCATGACATCACATTTTGGACGGCGTTGCAGTGATTTTGACAGGTGACTGGTGTAGTTTCGCTCTTTGTCTTGTACCTCCTCAATGTAGGGGGCATTCGCTTTGCAATTGGCTATTAACTTACTATCGACAACCCCCCACCCCTCAACAATAACAATAAGACATTAATGTAATACTAGCAAAGGCAAACTTCAGAAATCATGCGTTAATGCTGCTTTATTTTTGGGCATAGGTTATATTGCTCCTAAATGGGAACAAGAAAACCATTGCACTATATTTTTAAATGTGGCTATAATGTCTTATAACACATGAACAGAGTATTTTGTGTATCTATATAAAAATCTGTCCTTACAAATAAATAAACAATAATAATGTTATAAAATCTAACTGGTATTACTCACCTTTGCTGATTTTTTATCTGCACTTTTGGGAACTAAAACTGGACGATCATATCTGAGTAGAGATTCGGCCGGTGCATTCATTGTGAGCTCGCAAAAAATATTTAAATTCTATATTTTCATAAGAAATTCCCAAAGACTCGGTCCCATCTCTCATTTTTTTTTACCAAAACAACTCAATTTTGAGCGTCACTTGCGCCACTTTTAAAGCATTGCATTACCTGGAACTGAGTTACAAAGATTGTTTACTATTTGTAATCTTGCCACTTGCGATACGTCACCAGCAGTGACATCACCGCTTGTCATTGACGGCGTGTTAAAAAAGAGACGTGATAAGGGAATATTTTCAACGGCATATGAATATAACGTTTAAGGTGGGTCATGTGGAGTTGGGAAAAAGTCTACTCACATTGTGGTAGCACAGTGATTAAAATCGATTATTTTGCGTGCATGTCTGTTATACAATGTTGCGAATCCTAAATTCCACCAGATGGCAGTCGTGCGCTATGGACGCCAAGCAAAGAAGTAAACGGAGGTTTGAATCCGGAAGCGTCAATCCAGTGACTGCGAAGTCGTTTTCGCTAGCTTCCCATTCCCGAACACAGGATGGCGGTTTGATGGACTTAAGTTAACTGTAACGTAACGTCGACAAAAGGCCACAGCGAATATGACAAATGGTAAGTATTATTGAATAAAATGCGAGTTGAATAAATGTCAGCGGCAGAATACGGTTGTTACCTTGGTTGACGACAGCTAACGTCAAGTTAGCTGTAGACGTGGCCCCGGAGCTTTTGCTTTAGTTACCCAAGATGAGGCTGCTCTACTAATTTGTCAGTATAGAATGGTTACAAGTTGTCATTTGAATCACATCCGACCATTCATAGTGAAATACTTTTTTCTTGCACAAGGTTACATTGAATTCCGGTAACTATCTGCGACCAGCGGACTTGAAGATTTACTCCGTGGTGTTTTTTTTTTTCCAACGGAACCCAAAATAGTGATGCTGTTGTACTGTATATATGCGCAGAATGCAACATTTTTAAACCTGTGCCAAACACTGTCGTTATCATGTCATCAACTTTTGTATTGTCAGTTCATTTGAAAAAGTTTGAACTATAATGATTTGCTCAGTAGCACTCATACAATCACAAATCAAACGGTTACATGAGCATTGACGACCCCGAAAATCTGTAATGTAGTTTTGCTTTGTCATCAACGTCAACACAGATTTTTGCTCTAAAAAAAGTGTTGTGCCCCTTTTGTACCCTTGGTGCACAGTGTATTCTTTCGATGGCATCCTGGTGTTTGGGCTGCTCTTCATTTGCACGTGTGCATACTTCAAAAAGGTTCCTCGCCTCAACAGCTGGCTGCTGTCGGAGAAGAAAGGAGTGTGGGGAGTCTTTTACAAAGGTTGGTGTGTCTTCCACTGGAAATCACAAATGGTGCAAATAAATAGGGATTGCTTTATTGTAATTTTGTCTTAATTTTTCTTTCAAACATTAGCTTCTTTCAGTCCTGGGGAACATCAATTTGCAAACAAACCTGTTCAAAAATAAATGGTCTACAAACAAGGTTTTTCAAACACATATTGCGGTCCGGTTAATGAACTGTGCTTCCATTCGCTTGCAGTCAGAACATCTATGCAGATGATGCTCACCCCTCTCTTCGTCCAGACTTCAAGTTAAACAACATGGCTGATTTGACCGATGCCTTGTTCAAAGTGTAGCAGGTGTTTGCATTAAACAAAATGGTGGTGGATCCATAAATAAAACCACAACCAGAGCGTGTGTCTGCTTGTTCTCGCAGTGGAAGGAAAGAAAGAAAGAAAGAATGAATGAGCCCTGAAATGGAGATAGGCCTGAGTAGAAACACAGAATGGCCTGGAGCCTCAAGCAGGAATGACATACATAAGACATGCTTGAGTTGACAAAATTTGAAACTTGAATTTAGCATTCAGAGCCTTGTAACTATTGTGAGCATATTGTATTGTATATATTTGTATTACAATTAGTTTGAATTAGCATTTGGTTAGCATTGTCTTTTTTTTTTTCCATGCAGGTTTTAGGCAGGCTCATACAGTTTTAACATTGTGTAAGTTCCTGTGTAATAAATACACAGTATATGCAATTGTTAATTCCCAATGTTCATCATTATCTAAGACTATTATATATTTTAAGGTAAATAATCTTAGTGAAAAACAGTGATATATAACTGTTAGCTCATATTACCACCATTATATAATAACATGCTAGTTCAGAGCCTACAGTCCTTATTAACCTTGTGTTACTATTCAGTAAATGTCATCCTTTGATTCTTTCTTTGTAGCTGCAGTCATTGGGACACGGCTCCATATTTCTGTGGCAATCTGCTGTGTGGTCATGGCTTTCTATTTGATCTTCCTGAAATGATGAAACCGGACTAGATTGGGAAGCTTCGAATTGGCACAAGCGTGTGCTGAACTCGGTGAGGTCATGCCTAGTCCTTGCGGGACAACTAATGGACCATGTGACCCATGACGTCACCTCAGGTCATGGACTTGCTTTGAAAGATGAGTCTGCGCTGCCCCCTTCTGGTGACTTGGGGAGATAACGGCTCCCCAAAACAGATGAGGTCATCCTGAATCCACCCATAGTTTTATTGCGGAGACGAGAAGTGGGTGGGCCCTGTGGTGTCACTCTTGTTTTCAACTCATGCTGTTTTTGTCTTATTCATCCACATCGTTATTTATCCTGGAGGTATGGCAATGAGTCATTGTATTGTTGGCCTCTGCAAGATGAATTTAGTTTGGGTGACTAGTTTCAAACTAAAAATGATACATTTGTATTTTCCTCCGGTTACCTCTGTCATGCTTCTTCAGTGACTGGATAAAGAAATAATATATGATGTATTTTGACACAATTGTGTAACATTCTGTCACCGTATTCCCAACAAACGAGATGGATTTGAAACAGGTTCTTGCTCCACACTACTCAGCCGATCTTAATTGTACACCGAATAATGTTATTTTTTTAAATCAGTCTAATTACTGTTACAAATGGATGTTTGTACCAATCGGACCAACCTGTATATTCAATCTGCCTCAATATATGCCTATAATGCAAAATAAGGACAGTAGTTATGACCATTTCATGTTATTGAAAGAAATGATTGGGGAGAGAGTACGATGGAATCTTGAGTAAAATGTTAGCAACACAACTTGTATGTTGTTTTTATTAAAAAAAAAACAATTGCTTCAGGTTCCCACTCTTGTCTTTTTTGTAACATTTTTTTCAGTGAGTGTGACATCAAGCAGATTGATTGTTTCAGTCTACCACAATTAGGAAAACAGCATCCATCTGCTATGTAATCACAGATGTTGATTTTATGTGACTCTTTACCAGTACTCAAAATTATTCAAGCCTTTGTGGGTATTTTGCATAGATGACCACTTTTAATAGTGAAAATTTCTTTTAGTTGCCTTGGGCGACATCAAATGTTTTATTGGAGCATTGCAAACTACTGTAAGTTTGTTAACTTTGCAATGTGTGTTGAATAGAATTGAGTGCAATTCCTTGCACATGTTACTATTTTCATTTAACTTTCATAAATGACAAATATTGTAAATGACAAACCGCTTTTTAGAGTCACTTGAATAACTATCTCTGATTTATGATTTTAAAATGAGTTGTCCATCCGTTTGTTGTGTATAATGATAATTATATGTTTTCACAGTTATAACGCCCATCTGAGGGATACCAAAACATGAGTTTGACATCCCGCTTAAAGGTTTCTGTTAAGTTCTGGAAATAATTTTCAAATTTCAAAATTTGTTTTTATGGAGGACATCTTTCCCTTTGTTTTGTATATTGTTTGGATTCAACCACTATTCATCTGTGAACAAATATGCATTTTCTGATTAATCTTATAATGTTGGTTAAATGTGCCAATACATTAATACGAAACCTAATACTGTATTAGAAACTGAAGTCAAGCAGTACATCGGAACTATTAGTACACAAATTCAAAAGCACTACATTTTAAAAATATATATCTTTCTATGTAATATATGTCTTTGCCTCTATGTTTATCACCCCCTGGCTGTTTTGAGTTCTTAAAAAAATGTTTAAAGAGTCACAAAAGAGGCGTTTGATTGACAGGGAATTTCCCGCCCTCTCCGAGCACCAAAGAAGGGAGCCCCCATGTTTTCTCGATGGCGAGAGAGTTCTCGCGAGACTTTGTACCGGGAGCGCGCTGTGACCAGGACAAATACCCGCTCACGTTTCCGCATGCCGAGCAGAACACGAAAGAGGGCGAATAATCGAGCTGAAGCTCGTCCAACCAGATCCAGCGCCTTTAGAAGAGGAAGTTACCTCCACCGAGGAGGTGCACGGAACATTGCAGAGCTTTCCTCGGAACCTATTCTGCACCGCGGGGCGCCCTTAGTTCTCGTCCATTTTTCCAGAAATCGCGTCAGTTTTGTCGAATTATTACCAAGAGTAACCTCGCCTTGTTGTGGGTGCCACACGAGGAGGAGAGGGCACAAGTTTTCCGCTGCCTTGTTTTCCCTCGTCTCCGCGGAGCTACTTAAATCCGCAGGAATGTCGCAGGAGAGACCCACTTTTTACCGGCAGGAGCTCAACAAAACAATGTGGGAGGTCCCGGAGCGGTACCAGAACCTGTCTCCCGTCGGGTCTGGTGCCTATGGTTCTGTTTGGTAAGCAGATGCTTTTAGCATTCCCTTTCTTTACATTTTTACAGTTCCCAAAAGGAGCATGCACGCTCCCAAGTTGTCATTGTTACCCTTCCTTTTAACATCTGGTTGTTTCCTGAATCGTCTAAGTTGAAAAGCGCAGCTTTATACCCGCTTGATTAGTAGTAGCGTGCCTGTGCATGCTCCTTCATCAGGCCCAAGAACGGCTTGCTCATCGGATTTGATTCCAGTTTAGGACACTGCGATTGTGTCCCACGCTCCAGCATGCACAAGCCAACGCTTTGCATCGGCGTTCAACATGCATTATGCATTTTCCAGTTGGGTGCAGCCGGCCTGCAGAGCACCAGAAGGTCACGTGGTTTGCAGTAAGTAAAGTAGGCCCCCTTGTGCACAGTGAGGGCTTTGAATAGGATGCAGAGAAAAAAAAATGAGCAGAGTGATGACTCTAGAATGATGTCACTCTTTGTAGTACACCGATGACTCACTGTCCCGAGGTGAGGCACCCAACTCTTAGTCATCACTAAATCCTGTTATGGCACCTCACTCTTCAGTCGTGTGCGCGTTATGGTGCACTTCTCGATGCTCAACGTGTGAGCAGTGACATCACCTATAGGAGCGAAACATCAAGCAGCTATGCAAGTAATACAATTTAGCTCCCCGTAATCCAATTCTGTGCAACACTGAAGTTGCTACTTTAATGAAGAGGCCGTCTTTTGACATATGTGAAGTACGTCTCTTAGAGTTGTAGTTTTAGCAGTGCTATAAACCACATCAGACTGATCAGATCTGATTCCGATCTGAATTCAACCTTAAGTGATAATGTAAATGGCCTGTTTGTGAAATGTATTATCATACATTGGTTTTTTTTTTTTTTTTTCTACTGTGGCGGTGCAGTACAGAGGTCATGGGTTATGGGTTCAAACCTGTGCTCCGGCCTTCTTGTGTGAAGTTCACCCCATACCTGCTTGCCTTTTCTCCAGATATTCCGGTTTCCTCGACTATTCCAAAACATGCGTGGTATGTTAGTGGAACACTCTAAATTGTCCCTAGATGTGATTGTGAGTGTGAATGGTGCTTTCTCTGTGTGTGCCCTGCGATTGGCTGGCAACCTGTTCAGGGTGTACCCCGCCTATTGCCCGAAGACGGCTGGGACAGGCTCCAGCACGCCCGCGATAAGTGGATCAGATAATGGATGAATGGATTTATTATTATTATTTTTTTTTTTTACTGTCAATTATATGTGTTTTGCTAACAAAATAGTTTCACGCATTTATTAACTTTCAGTGTTCAGCAAATAGAAAGAAAGAAAAAAAATCACACAATATGCTATCAATACAATACATGCATCTTTATTGATATCATGCTTTAACAACAGCTGCAGCTGTAACAAAGCGCTTGTGCTTTACAGAACTTTTCACATAAAATAATAATACAACACATAACATTAGATATTGAGAATAACACAATAGTAACAACTTTTCCTACATACATTTTTTTTTCCGGCTGGCACAAACCATTCTTTTAAATAAGGCCATTTACGAGGGATGCCTAACTTCCAAAAGTTTTGCTGACATTGTTTATGCTCCCTAGCTCACATTTCTCCATGTACTGTAGCTGCTGTCTGTCACACTGACTTTTTTTTTTTAAACTTCGTTTGCAGAGGTTAAAAAAAAAAAAAAAAGTAAAAAGTCTGGTTAAGTATGGATACCTAGAGAAAAACTACAATTAAGTATTTGTACTTTGTTACTTCCTGCCAATGAACCACATAATTATCTGAGTGTCTGTACTGGAATGCAATCAGAAAACCCAACATGGGTGGCCCTGTGGCTTTGTCACTGCAGCCTAAATTTTGAGCACACGTGGCTACAATTGATAAAAAAATGAACATGCTTCTTGTCCCAACCAATCCGTTCGATGCAGTGTGATTTTCAGTTTCCTGTGGCCTGAAGCGGAAAAAATGATTATTCCCAATTGCGGCAAGTAGACCCGAGCCAGTGTTATGGCATGGAAAAGTTGCAAAATTTGTACTCTTTTAGCACACAGTGCAATGCAACTCTGTAACATTTCAAGCATTTTGCATGACAAAAGCAAATGTTTTGTAAAAAGTGCAGACAATGACGGCATACATAGATAAACGAATCACTGAAAACGTCCTGACACTGCATGACAAAATGAATTATGTTTGAAGGTACCTGGGACTTAGGCAAAAACTTTGATCAAAGCTCCTGAACAACAAATTGCATCGCAAAAGTATGAGGAAGAACGTCAATGTCATCAAAACTATCATTTGCAATTATTATCCACTTGTATTTAATTGCAAAGGACTGCTGGCAGGTTTAAGTTACAAAGTCAGTGACTTTGTCAAGCTAGCACTTCAAGAGCAAATGCCGCGAATGCTTTAACCATGCGGGTTGCCATGTTCTCACTCATCTTAGTGTGGTTTACTTACAGACCCCAAGGCACGCGTACATATTAAACAGTCAATCATCAGCGACAGTAAATTGCACGGTTTTTGACATTATAACCTGTTCTAGCACAAGTTTGTTTTGTTGATGTCATAAACTGTAGTCAGGTTGACTATGTGGTCTTGTGGTCAACAAACTGGACTTGATGATGTACGCCTGTACGGAACAACTTGTTCTGCTTCTTGTTTAATTGCCTTTTGTTACCGTTGGAACCCCCCCCCTTTTTTTTTTTTTGTTATTGTCACACCAGTTCCTGTCATAAAGAGATATTACTAGTGCCAATAACGTTATGTACAGTTTACTGCCAGTGTTCTTTCCATGATCACTGAGATAAGATCTTTTAGACACAGGTTAGATTCTTACTTGATTTTTACGTGTGCTATGTTACTTACTGCACTTTATTTGTGTGTCTTTTGAAAAAGTAAGTATTAGAGAGAAATGAATGTGTGTGCGAAATAAACTTGTCCATTTATGAAATGAAAACCCGGCAATTAAAATTCAAATAAGGAACCTCCAAAGACGAGCATAATCTGTTTTTGGGACAGAAATCGACTTCCAATCTGTTCTCATGACATGGCCATTAATTCAGAGGAAATTAAATGTAAATTGAAATATGTTTCAAAGTCCAACTGTTACCATTATTAACACATTTAATTCGACAGCGTCATCTCCTTGTTAAACCGAGTTCACGTTGGGATGACGGCGGTCTCATCTACTGTGGTCAAATTCAATGGCACTCGGTTGTCGTGGTAACAACAATAACTGGTGTATTTAGGGAATGCTAGGAATCTGCTTAAGTAAAGTGACATTCTTTTGTTGAAATAAAAGTACATTTTTAGGCTCACGCGTTATTGATGAACTTGTGGTAGCCAAATCGTTCGGTAATATGTATCAGAAAGGCAAGGTATTGTACACTCTGTCCAGCTTTACCGAATAGGGGTTTGTCTTTTTCTCTTAATGGCTCAGCTTTCGTTCTCCACTTACTGTAAAATCAATGTCCTAATGCCTTTTGTTTTCTGTGGGGTGTACATATGAAATCAGGCAGATTGTGATGGCATGATTGAAATAAAGCGCTGTTGCGTACGTCTCAAAAGTGAGTATACCCCTCACATTTCAGCAAAAGTGCGGTAATAGCGAGTAGAGATACGTGCTGTCTTTATATCTTCTTCATGCATTACCAAATTATCAGATCAGGACTCACTGTCTGCAGCTACTCAAAATAAAGTGACCCAAAAAGAAAAAAAAAAAGACATTGGAATATTTCACAGGTGAATCAGTTCATTGGAAACAGGCACGTTTCATAATTGAGTACAAGAGGAGAATGAAAGGCTCGGTCAGTCACAAGCAAGGATGGGGTGTAGTTCAGCACTTTCCAACATTCTCTGGGGTGTGTGTCAGTGCCCTTTGATGCTTTTCCAGGGACATCCAAGCTATTTCAGCCAGACTAGGCCAAGTCACATTCTGCAAATGTTAAAACAGCCTGGCTTCAGCGAGTACTAGACTGGCCCGCTTCCAGTCCAGCGCTGTCTTTTATGAAAGACGGACGGAGGACCCAAATATGTGGATGTCATATTCCAATGAGTGACAATTTTAAAAGGTCCAAGTGCTCATCAAATGTCCATACTAGGACATTGTAAAGCCATGATACAAATTTTTCACACTTGGGAAAATAATTCAATCCATTGTGATTCTGTCGTCTTCTTGAAACTGCCCTTACTTGCCTATGCTCACCTCTCTCCAATCTAACACCGTCTCTCCTTTTGCATTTTTATGGCCGCTTTCTTATTACTCTCGCTTTTTTTTTTTTTTTATTATGGCGTAATTGGATGCTGTTTGCTTTGACCCGTCTCGTTTGTTCTGCAGATCAGCTACTCTTTAAAACGTCAGGGCTCACGCAGCTCGGTTAAATCAGTGTTTGCCAAAAGCAGGACATTGTAAAGCCATGATACAAATTTTTCACACTTGGGAAAATAATTCAATCCATTGTGATTCTGTCGTCTTCTTGAAACTGCCCTTACTTGCCTATGCTCACCTCTCTCCAATCTAACACCGTCTCTCCTTTTGCATTTTTATGGCCGCTTTCTTATTACTCTCGCTTTTTTTTTTTTTTTTATTATGGCGTAATTGGATGCTGTTTGCTTTGACCCGTCTCGTTTGTTCTGCAGATCAGCTACTCTTTAAAACGTCAGGGCTCACGCAGCTCGGTTAAATCAGTGTTTGCCAAAAGCGGGTCTTCAAGCCAGAGACGACATCAAAGTTGTTTCACAAGGCCATGGGACAGAAAGTCCACTGGTTGCGTGTGGTTATCTCGCTCGTGCTGAAGAAGGAAAAACACTCTGCTTTATCTTAATGTTGTTGTTATATGGGTGTTTAGGCAGATCATCCAGTGGTACTGTGATACTGATAGACTGCTGACTAAAGGTAGGAAGTGTTTGCATCTCTCTATTGGAAACGTCACCCAAGGAAATGACTCAAACACATAGTGGAGCGATATAATCCAGGTCATTTTACACTTGCAGACTGACTGGGTCACTGGTGCAGGTAGTTTGACAGTGAAGTTGCCCAGGCTGAACGTAGGTGAAACACTCCCTGCTTGGTGTGTCTCACCGCAGCGTAACTAGTCAACCTAGAAGGAATGTGAGTTATTGTACGGGGGCCATATTCTCTCAGTTTACTCGAGCAGTGCAGGCCAGGCCCATCTGGCTCGCAGTTTCTCTTCCACCTCATTGTCTTCATCGAGCGCGGTTGTCAAATCTCTCGGTTTTCCAGTTCAGCCGGCAAACCTTTCAATTCGACTGCAACTGTTAGCTTGCTGTCAGTCAGACAACTCAAATGTACCTTATTTTCGACGTCTGTGTTTTGCTTTTGTTTTAGTCACACCCGTTTCTGTTCTGGTTCCTCAATGACAACAAGGAATAGAGTTACACGAGATAAATGACCCAAGCGCTCGCAAGCCATGCGTGTTGCACATTTCCGCGGACATCTTCACCACAAAAGCAATCGATGGGTTTCTCATGATAGCATGTTGTTATGTCAAAACTGCAAAGACTTTTTTTTTTTTTTTTAATACACTGCCTTCACAGACATGTGGTTGACATAAATGCTAGTCAGGAAAACGAGTGGCGGGGAGCAAGCCAATCAAAACTAAAAACTTTTTTTTTTTTTTTTTAATACACTGCCTTCACAGACATGTGGTTGACATAAATGCTAGTCAGGAAAACGAGTGGCGGGGAGCAAGCCAATCAAAACTAAAAACTTTTTTTTTTTTTTTTTAATACACTGCCTTCACAGACATGTGGTTGACATAAATGCTAGTCAGGAAAACGAGTGGCGGGGAGCAAGCCAATCAAAACTAAAAACTTTTTTTTTTTTTTTTTTAATACACTGCCTTCACAGACATGTGGTTGACATAAATGCTAGTCAGGAAAACGAGTGGCGGGGAGCAAGCCAATCAAAACTAAAAACTTTTTTTTTTTTTTTTTTTAATACACTGCCTTCACAGACATGTGGTTGACATAAATGCTAGTCAGGAAAACGAGTGGCGGTGAGCAAGCCAATCAAAGCTAAACACTTTTTTTTAGTTCAGCGTCAACATTTATGCTAGCCACCCACACGGTGCATACACTTAAATGTCATCATAACATATATTTTCTCTTCAATTCTCTCACGGTGTTAGACCAGACCAGGTGTTTATTTTACATATTTATTAATTAAAAGAGGGCACTTACATGTTGTAATGATGGAAATAGATGCTGACGTTTATTTCTCCTTTGGCATATTTGTCGATGCCTCGGCGACTTACGTGCCAGTGTTAATGAATGCAGAGCCCGAAATTTGAGTTTCTGTGATTCACAGAGAAATGTAGAAAAGGAGCGTTTAGCGAACTTTATTTGTACCCGACGTTACAATGGGTTGCATTGAGTTGGCTGCTCACACATGCACAGACATCAATAAAATGGAACCCACATGTTAATCTGCACCAAAACTGAATGGGGTTTTCTTTGTTCGTGCCCCACACCTCCATTTAAGTGCCAGAAAATGTATTTAGTAGTTTGTAACAAAGAAGCCTGAACACTTTGGTGTGGGAAATTAAAATGAGTACAATGGAAGTGCCACACGGCAGTGAGTTTTAAGTGTGGTTGCATTTCTAGGGCAACACCCAAAGATAATTTGCACAAACAATCTGGCTGAATGTTTTTTGTTGTGGTTGTTGTTGCTGTTGCTGTTCAAAAATAATCTTGAACAGTTTAGTCAGTGTTTTTTTTTTTTCTATTAATGATTATGGGATTTTTACATGTGTGCTTTTTACACAATACAGCTAATAAGTCACATCCATTTCAGTCATGTCGCTAGTCCAGTTTCTGACCATCGGGGTTTAGGGAAACCAGTGGGCTACATGTTGTCTACATGCTTGTTTACAATGTGGCCCACAGGTTACCATTTAATCCAGGGAAACATTCTAGACTTTGAAATAATGCATCTTTTACAGTGAACATCTTAGCATCTTCTATCTACGTTTGTGTATCTTACAGTTCAGCATTTGACATGAAGACGAGCCTGAAAGTAGCAGTGAAGAAGTTGTCCAGACCTTTCCAATCCATCATCCATGCGAAGAGAACCTACAGAGAGCTGCGGCTGCTTAAACATATGAAGCACGAGAATGTAAGTCGTCGTCATCCCCAATATTTGGCTTGATTTTTCTTTTTTTGGCGGGGGGGGGGTGTTCCGCTGTAGATTGCACTTGGATGACTACAAATCTATGTTATTGTTGGGTGGGCAATTGCTAAATATGGTGATCGGCTGTAGTTGTATTTACACAATAAGGGGCGGGAAAAATCTGCAGTTAGAGTCAATGTTTCGCCCTCTGAATGAAGCTCATTGATTAGAGATGCTGAATGTCACCATGTGCTGCATTGAGAGATGCACCCGATGGCCAACATATGACCAGAGGGTGTCAAAAGAAGAATTGAAAACTAGCGTGTTGTGGTGCCTTGTAGATAAATCACCTACAGACACTTGCCCACATGCTTTTTAGATGCTGCGTGCTGTTGCTACATCTACTTTGACCACTTACAGTAATGTTACGTAATCACAGTAGCTTTGTCAAGCGACTCCAGGCAATGGAAATGTGCAGCACTAAAAGCAGTCTTTGCGTTTGTGAAGCCGATACAAATATGTCACAGGAAACTTCAGCGTATGGAAGGTTTGAAACGGGAAATCATGTTGGAAATATACAGACAGAAATATACAGTATATAGACCTTTAATCCTCAATTCCATCTGAAGAAAAAGTGCAAAGCATGAGGCTACCAATGACGGCTTTTTTTTTTCTTCTTTTTTTCTTGTTTTTTTTCCCAAGAAAACGTTAGACGTAGACATGATGTGGTTCAGCAAAGTTTAGGTGTTCACACTGACTCAAACAGCTTTTTCCCCAATGTTACTTGATACAGTATATCTCCTGTATCTTTGTATTAGCCCACTCGTATGTGGCCTGCGGGGAAGTGGGGGGTGTGGGTGGCTTTTTTTTGTTTTGCTTCTATGCTCTTGCTGAAGAGGAAGGACAAAGTGGTGATGCTCAATCCAAACCTTATTGAAAACTACCCACACTTCCCTATGTTGCGAACAGGTTCCACAGAGAAGCATTTTCATGCCAAAACATGATTGGAACTAGTCTGTGCAGGCTCCCTGTCAACAGCTTCACAACATAGCGTCTGCTTTTCGACAGGAGTACCAGTGTCTATACAGGCTCTTTCTTTTGTGTCATTGCACAGTATGTATGTTCTTGTTTAGCTGCTGTGCAAACAGTCCGCCATTTCGGCTAAGATCGCCCAATACATTTAGAAACAGATGTCAAATTGGACAGAATTGTGTTACAACAAGGGACAAAAGTAGTGACACGTACCTACAGTAGATCATGATGAATTAAAAGATTTGAAGCTGCACAGGTGGTCGTATTTGTATTGCTTCTGCTCAAATAGTCGTGCTCACTATAATAGACGCGGTGTCTCGTTTATTCCTCCCACTATGGACACCTGGGCTAATCTGCAGTTGAGTAAATAAACGCCCACCGGCCACAAAATGAGGGGAAAATGGCACGTGTCATTTGTCATCAAGCTTATTGCTACATGGTTTCATCATAACATAGAGAATTGCATGCATTTTTTTTTCTGTCTGTGTGTGTGGTTTCTAAATTCATCAGCATGGTATATTACTTACCTTTTGTTGCACAGACAGTAAGAGAGTAAAAGAGACGTTCTGTTTTCCTTCCGCTGTTGCCGGGAGACTCCCTGGGTTTTTCAGTTTGGAAGGCGAGGATGAACCAATCAGATTATTTGTTGTGACTGGAGCCTACCAATCATCTGTGTGGTTGTCTTGCGCGAGCGGGCTCATGGTGAAGCTGCTACGGCACAACTGCGTTTTACAGTACAATACTGTATTGTACTTATCCGTGGCACTCCGTTTTGGGGGGGGGGGTTCATCGGCCTGCATCACCATATGACCTCCTTCTTGGCATGCAGGAAAACACAATTTATTAATGTATACATATATTTTGTCATCAAAAATGGAATGTAGTTAACTGTCGTTTCCATGGCAATCCCCCATCACCAGCTTTAGCATTTAGCTATCTGTTACCTCTAGTGTGTGTGTGTGTGTGTGTGTGTGTGTGTGCGGCCTTTCGTCACTATTCAGAATAATGTACAGTGTTGCTCCAAACTTGGCTGCATGCCACACTGATCAAATTGTTTTTCGACCCGCCGATGCTTTCAGACAAACAGTTTAGTCAGTGAACTTGCATGTTTTCTGACTTGACCTCGTTATACTTACTGCCGTTGATTTGCATTCCACACGCGGGCTTGAAAATAAATACACGTCATAATTCTTGGGCAAACAACAATTGTTCTTTCCTGACAGCGGTGATGTTTGCCCGACCCATTTTGTCTGATGAATTTGAACATACAAACAAAACGGGGTGCCATTATAATCTAATCTAACCGCAAACGCTTGTGCGCACTGGCTTGGCTCTCTGCTTGAGACAATTTAAGTCCGGATATTGAAGAGCACTTATCTCGTGTCTTATATCAGTGTGTGTAAACATGATCTTTACCTTCTCTTTCCCCCCCCCCCCCCATCCCCCCAGGTGATCGGTCTGTTAGATGTTTTCACACCTGCAACAAGCTTAGAAGAGTTCACCGATGTGTAAGTCACACTTATTGTTTTTTCTTTCATCACTTACAATTGTCACGGCGAAATACAGAACCTTATACCTTACATGCAGTGTTTTAGGTGAATGTAGGTTAAGCAGATGCACTCTGTGCATTGGAGTTGTTTCCATGGTAACAGCCATCTGGCAGTCTGCGCATTTGTGTGTGCAGACGACTCCAATGAATGTGTAGAAGGGTCTCTGCGTGGGGCTGACGTCACGTATATTTGAGATGAAGCTTTTGTTTGCACTTGTAGGTCACTACAGCGAAACGTGTGTGGTCCATCTCAACCCAGCCCCGTAACTACTCTATGACATGTGTCAATAATAGTGGCTGGTTCTGTCTTGCAGCTACTTGGTGACCCATTTAATGGGGGCGGACCTCAACAACATCGTAAAGTGTCAGAAGCTGACGGATGACCATGTCCAGTTCCTCATCTACCAGATTCTCAGAGGCCTAAAGGTCGGTCAATGTAACGCTGAGTCCACGTGTAGCAATTATAAAACCTTTAATTGTAGAGGTGACGTTTAAGTCACCTTTTTAACATTCTTTCCTAAAAGCTTAGCAGTGTCCTTGTATCATAATAGTGAAATAAAATGTCCGTGAAATGATTGTAGTCAGTCAACCAAAATGACTCAAGGAGACCTTTTATTAGTTATGAACCGATGGCATGTTGAGTGGGAACTTTAGATGATGTGGGCTACTGTCAGTAATAATAATAATAACGTACAATTGATATGTCTTTATTTATGCTGCTGGAGCACATGTGTGGATCTTGAGTTTGGTTTCATATTTGTCTGAGATAATCTGCCAGCGTAGCCACTGGTAACTCTCCAATGAGAGTTCACCTTGCTATTGTATTTATGTTCAATAAACTCCAGTTAATTTAATTGCCACGTACGCTGAGCTCCTCTGAACATTTTGGGAAAGTTACGCAGTAACATCGCGGAGAGATTTTTGCTTCTGTAACCGCAGCATGGGTATGAACACACAACTTGGCTATTTAAAAAAAAAAAAAAAATCCACTTCAGGAGCATGTGCGTTAAAATGTGATCTTTTTTTTTTTTTTCCTCCCCCGTCCCCTCTGTAGAACATCCATTCTGCAGACATCATCCACAGAGTAAGTGCCGTTGTATAATAATAATAATAATAATTTATGAGCATTGAGATCACATTTCGCTTAATGTCCAATAAAAGTAAAGGCTTAAAACAATAAACTCAGCCTCAAATTTCCTCCGTTGTGTTTTTGTTGTGATGCTGCATTGTCACACGTCATTGCTGTCTTTTAAATTATCTTCTCCCCTCCCCAGGACTTGAAGCCCAGCAATCTGGCTGTAAATGAAGATTGTGAATTGAAGGTGTGTGTGACCATTGAAAATCAAACACCAGTAACAATTTTCTTTACACCACTAGCCACAAAATTAGGTACCCGTCGTCTCATGCAGCTTCAACAAGAAAACCAAAATGCTGTGATAAAAACATATTTATGTGTAACACACCCACATTAATCTCCATTTTGTTCAATTGTGTCTTTGACAGAGACAATTAAAACCAACTTGCATTATCTTTGTAACGGTGTCCTTTTTGATACAGCTCTTATATTCGATCTCATTTTATTGTATGGAAATGTAGCGCATCACCTATTTGAGGGTAGGACAGGTATACTCTTTTATTTCATGTACCAGTACACAAATATTTCTTGGTCCCCCAGATCCTGGATTTTGGTTTGGCCCGACATACGGATGATGAAATGACTGGCTATGTGGCCACTCGGTGGTACCGAGCCCCAGAGATCATGCTGAATTGGATGCACTACAACATGACAGGTACACAGACTCCGATAGAACGCTCTGTGCGTTATTCTCATTCCATCGTTCATTTTGATGTAAGTGGAGTATGTTTCGGGCTGTATTCATTCACACATCATAACGCATCCACAAAAATCATTGAAAACAACAAAAAAAAAACCCAGTTTATTTCAGTCTATGCATTTTAATTGGAACCCGATGTCAAAACAAAAGCTTAACACTGTAAATGCACTGCATTCATGACAATTTGGGCTTGTCCATATAAAAAAAAAAAAATGTAGCTTAATAATTTGTTATGATAACATATCTGACATGTCCAATTAAATAGATTTTACTTGGTTGCTGCAACCTTTTGGGTACAACCTTTAAGATAAAACTTGCTTGTACCCATCCAGTGGAGTTTTCAACAGTTTTCAGTAAAATTATTTTCATGCAGCGGCGCATTGGTTTGCATTTTTAAAATTAATGTGCTTGCAAAACAAACCAACCGTGTATGAATTGAGAAAAAAAAAAACCATTGCGTTTTGCAGATTTCACTGTGTCTGCATCAGATGTTGCTTAGATGGCACCGTCTTTTGTTTCAGTGATTCTGAATACGGGGCCAACATGTTGCCATGATCAAATTCACTGTTGTTTTATTGCTTCCGTGTTTCAGTGGACATCTGGTCGGTGGGCTGCATCATGGCTGAACTTCTCACCGGACGAACACTATTCCCCGGCACTGATCGTATCCTTCCACTCAGCTCCAAAACTCAGCCTCTTGAGTTGTGGACAAGGTTGTGGCTGAGTGCAGACTGTGCACGAACTGTATATGAGTCGCGACGTGTCAAATTCACGAGGAATCAATAGTGTGTGAATGAACTTCTAATTAGTGCTTTGCAGGAGACAGCGTGCGTGCGCGTGTGCCTGCATGTGAGATGGACTTCCCTGTGGTCTATGACTCAGCGCTGCCCACTGTTGTCTGTGCGATACGGTGCACCTTCCTGTTTCCCGTTCACCCACCAAGCATTCCATGCACAGCATTTGGACGATTCTTTGGAAACCGTTAGTCAAGGCCCTTGACTGTGCTCCAGTGCGCAACGCAAAAGCAAATAAAAAGTTGGATGATCTTTGGGTGGAAGGGCCCATCAAACTTATTTGGCATCACCTCGAATGGAGATGCTGAGCCGACATCAGTGGTTTCTGATCGCGCAATTGCTCTTCGAGATCAATCGATCACTGCACCTCGTTACAGCTCCCCAACCTCGCGGTGTTCAGTTTTCCTTCATGTCAGTGTGATAGACATTGATGAATTGAAGCTTATAATGCTGCTCGTCGGAACCCCGGGGCCCGAGCTCTTAATGAAAATCTCCTCGGAGTCTGTGAGTGTCAGGCACCCACGATTTTGTTGCTCCTCGTTCCTTGCGTTGCATCTGCTTTGCTCGAGGAATGGTTTTCCAGATTGACTTGACTGATTTTGCTCCTGCTTGAGACACATTTCTGTTTTAGCATGTACGAGAAGTATGCGGGCACTGTAGCAGTGATGAGCTATCATGGCTGAAGATGTCTAACAATACCTTCTTACGTGTTCATCTTCATCCTGTGTTTGTTCCCTGCCTCCTCGTGCGCAAACTTTCTTAAAGTGCCTGTACTCTTTGACCTTGTTGATATGAGGCCCCTTGACTCAGACACTATAGACATAAACCAACTGCAGCAGATAATGCGTCTGACGGGGACCCCCCCAGCCTCCCTCATAAGCAGGATGCCGAGCCATGAGGTGAGGCCCCTGATATTCACTTGGAGATGCCATCAAACACCAACTTTACATGCAAGATATATCGACGGACATCAGATGCATCATGCAAAACCATTTCCAACGCATTATCTGCCAACAAGCATCTGCTCTCATTTCGCTGATCCTGTTTCCTGTCTGTCTCAGTGCAGTTGTCGCGGCTATTCAGCACTTTGCCAGTCTCGAGCTTATTAACATTTGACACCTGTTTTCATACTACAACAAAAACAAATGCACGTACTTGGAAGCATATCATAAAGAATGCAGGGCACCGGACAGTGACGCACTGAATCCGCAACAATAGCAGTGCGGATTTTTCACATCACTTTATAAGTGGGCTATGTTTTTTTTTCTCTCTCTCTTGCAGGCAAGGAACTATATCAACTCACTTGCCCACATGCCCAAGAGAAACTTTGCAGATGTATTCATAGGTGCCAATCCTCTTGGTAAGTGGGCCTTAAAATAAAGAAATCAATCACCTTTCTTCTGGCGCAAGAGATTAGTGATAAGAGCATGAACACCAAATAGACGAAAATATGACATACAAATGTTCAATTTGAGACATTACCCAAGATGATCACATTATGAAAGAAAATCTTGATACAATTACTTACAGTAAAGGCAAATTCTGTGATTTAAAAAGTCTCAGATTAACTTTCTTTGTCTACGCTGTTAAAACAGAACAATAGACTTAACAGGCAGTGATTGCATATAAAATTGCAATGTGTTTTCTCAAGTTCCAAGTGGAGTTCTTGTAGGCTGAAATGTCAACATTTTTATGCAGGCACGGATGACGGCCTTTTCATAGTTTCATTTGTATACTGTACTGCTTTGCCTCGCTTGGGTTACGAGTGAGCTGGACTTCCTGGCTCTATTTAATTGGATATCAAAGATGGCTCACAGTCACTTGTACTCTCTTCCTCCTATTGTCATCAACAGTCGGCATAGATAGGGTGGTGCTGTGATCCAAATGTGTATCGGTGGTTCTCATGTTGAACATTGTCCTCCGTCCTCTAGCTGTGGACCTGCTGGAGAAAATGCTGGTGCTGGACACGGACAAACGGATCACGGCATCCGAAGCGCTTGCTCACCCTTACTTTGCTCAGTACCACGATCCAGATGACGAGCCTGAAGCGGAGCCTTATGACCAGAGCTTTGAAAGCCGCGAGTTGGAAATTGAGGAGTGGAAGAGTAAGAAGGCATATTTTGGATAATTAGGAGAAGGTGGTAGAGCTCATGACAGAACTTGGGATCTGACGTAAACTTTTTCTTCCCCTTTCCTATCCGATAGGGTTAACCTATGAAGAGGTGGTCAGCTTTGAGCCGCCATCGTTCGACAGGGACGAGATGGAATCATGAGGAAGAGTAGAAGCATCCATCCTTAAATGGAAACACACTTAAAAAAACAAAACAAGAAAATCTGTGTGTGTGACTTGGCCAGACTTTCCAAACACCCTCAACATCACCACAATGTTCAAGTGCCTGCCATCTTTAAATCTCTGGGGGGGGTAATTTTCAGGGACTGAACTTGACTGTGTGTTTCTACGATCATTCATATTGCAGGTTTCTTTTTTTTCTATCCTAACTAATAATTTAGTTAGATTAGCAGCTGGCATTGTGTTCTTGATATTGTGAGCAAATTGGAGCAACTTCTATTTAGTTGATAATGAAAGTAATAATAAACAAGCAGGATTGAGATGTTTTAAGGAGATATTTATCAAATGTATCCTCTTCCTCTTTCAAATTGCATATTTTTGTACATAGTCGTGTTTTAGATTGACAACAAAAGCAGTGTTTGTATACAACTGATTCAGCCAGGCCAGTAATCATATTGGACACGCAGTATGAATGATGTCTTGAGGTATGAAAGATTTGTTATTTAATAAATAAAGTGTGTATGACACAACTCTTCAGTATATGTTACAGTCGAGGCTTTGTTTTTATAATTGGATTCAGTTCCTCGATGTTTCTTCTCTACGACCCTGAGATGTTTGTTTTCTGTGTGCCTCGATTATTCCCACTCTTATCTCCTGTTAGCACTTTAGTTTCTGTACATTCTTTCCGCATCCACTCACATCCAGCAGGACCACTATAGTGTGATATTTCTTGATGTTTTAAATGTTATCCATCACAACATGAGCTGGCAGTGTACTTTGATCATATTGCGTTTATAAATCACAAGTGTTCAAAGAATGTTTTGTGGATGTCAGGCTGTCTTATATTTATATTATCTGTTTTGTATATTGATGTTGAAGAATGTTATTTGTTAAAAAATAAGACAAAACATTAAGCCTTCAGTTCATTATTTATGGAGAGCTATCCTTGACCAGAAACCAAAGGTATTATCTGCTAATTAAAGTTCTGATGACTGCAGTTACACCTTGTATCAGACCAAAATGGGAAAATTAAGACAATCCCGCCAGTGTTTTAGTAGCACGTACATTCACTGACTGTATTGCCAGAATGCACTGCCACACACTGTATTTTTAATACAATGCCCATTGAAATTATATCCAGAACTGTCAGATTGAGATGATTTGCCAGCAAAATCAGAAACATTCTGACAGTTGGCTGAGTGAGCTGTTTTCAGAATCTAGTCAGGTTTAGACATACACATCCTGTCTTTGTTTCATTGGCAAATACTTGTTTTCATATATAGGGCTTTTTCACATTTCAACGTCTTATTACTTGTGTGTTGAATCAAGAGCTCGTATTTTGTAGTACTGTATTTGTCTTTTTTTTTTTTTGGTTGAATTTGTCAGTTTCGAGTATTGGTTTTTGCTTTTATTGGCACCACTGTTTTGGGGGTGTTTTTACTATGGTTATAAAATACATACCTGTGTAATACTATCCTGACAAAATAAAGGTAACTATTTTTTAAACTGGAAAAAAGTGCACGATAGATACAATTAAGCTATTGCTAGTCCTGCTACCACTAGGGGACAGAATTACATCGTCTTTGCCCGACTGTATTGTCGATGAGTTAAGGTTTTATGCATATAAAAATGCCATAATGTGGAACAGTCGTTCTGAAATGGGGGTGCGCAAAGTCACTTTAGGGGATACGTGAGATTTAAAATATATTTTTAAAAGTAGCATCAGTGAAACAAAAAAAAAAAAAAGCTTGATCACTGCATGAAACAAAGAGTAACAAAGATCCCCAGTTGACGCACATGCCCAAGTTGGTCTGTTTTCTTTCATTTTTTTATACCACTACATATTGAGTTCCAAAATGTAATACATCCTACACTGGTGGCACGGCACTCTGTTTTGAGGCTTTTTTCCATCTAAAAATACTTTGCGCTGGCTGAATGAAAACGATATTTCACAGGCGGTACATCATTGAAAACAGGTTGAGAACTGGATAACCAGCATAGTTACTTTGACGTAAATGTATTTTTTAATGTCTGTTGTGATGGTTTTAGCTCATCTTAGGACGCATCGGAAAGAAACAAACCCTCTGGCATGCAACGACGTACAGTATTTATTAATAGCCAAGTTATCTTTCAAACCGGTATGTCGACCCGTGTATTATTTACAATCTCCAACGAGTCATTATTAGGCACGTCAGGAGAATTGGTTACAGTGACATTTGTCACCGCGAATCTAATCATTTACATGTTAGTTCGATCTAAAAGCACCACTCGCTCGTATTTGCACTTAGATTCTGGCTACATAGAGAATGAATATTTCTTAGGTTTCCTGAACACACCCTCACTGGTTTCCGCGACAGGAAGGAGCAGAGTCTTGCTATTTCCAACGTCTTCTGAACGCAGCACTACCCCTGGCTGATTTGCCGCGATGGAAAGAAAAGGTATTTTTGCCGTAAATTAAAAAAAACATTTTTTTCTGCACTGCATTTTCGCTGTTACCTTCGACGTTATCGTGGGCAGATTATGTCACTATGATTTGTCGTGTGTATTGTTAAACCTCGTTAAATAATAGTTGAAAGGTGGACCATGCGCAGAGTGTATGTTGTAGCATTTATGCTAGTCGTGTCCACGAGACTACCGCCGCGCGGATGCGCTTAAACTTTGTAAAATATGTCGCAATCGTCAACACCTTAATTACGTACAGCCCACTGAACAAATACAAGCTCTTTTTGTTCAGGATAAAGGCTGAATTATTTGCCAACTTGGGAGCACCTCTACGCCGGTTTGCTAATTCAATTCTGTAACTTTGTTTCCACTGAACCTGTCAGTTTGATGCATCAAAAAAAAATTACGTTCGGTTATCTATATTATGATTTTTGTTAGGCCATTTATTTTTGTTTGTAATCAGAGAAGGCTGCTCAAGGTGGACATGGAATGTTCTGATTTTAATCCATTTTCTATTTGGCAGTACTCGCTTTACAGGCGAGGAAGAAGAGGACAAAGCCTCGGAAAACTGGAAGAAAGTAAGTTCTCGTTACCCGTTGCAAAAGAATTAAGCAGATTCGCCTATTTAGCTTGATTTGTACGTCATTCATCTTCATTCTATTCGTGCTCTGCACGATTGAAGAACTACTTCAACCTGGTATATACAGCGGTGTCAAACAATTTGGGTTTTTATTTCAGAGGGTTAAGACTGTGAAAAGCATAGAAATCTCTAGTCACCTTCATATACATGATTGCCCTTGCGTTGTATATCAATGGTTCTCAAACAGGGTGCCATGGCACACTGTATTGCTTTCCAATTTCACTTATATGGGGAGTTTGCAAAAAACAAACATTTTTTTGTCATATTTGTTAAAAATCTATGACCTGACACTGAACCAAATGATCTATGAAAAAAATAGCTCTCCATGGCTCCACCTAGTCCCTTAAAATTTATTTGCAAGACACTTGCATCTGAGGAAAAACAACCAGAGATGATGCACCACATGCTCTGGCTGAGACAGAACCCGTACAACTGCCATGAGAACCTGCTCCTCTGCCAGAAGACAGAGGATGTGTGTAATAGCGAAGGCCGGGAACAACTGAAGGATGTCACGGGAGTGCCAATCGCTTTTGTCTTTGGTTTGTGCTTTTCTAACCTTTTTTGTTGTTGGTGTTCATTGTGTGGGCTCTTTTTGGTGCTCTTGTCTTCCATTAGAGGGGAGTGTTGGTGCTTGTTGCGTTGAACGTTCATGCGGCGATTACTTTGCTTAGAATTTCAGTCTTGGACTATAAGGCCGCAGAATTTTTGGAATTTGGCCTGTTATTTTTCTTTTTGTGTTTGTTGGGTGGAGAATGTTGGTGCTGCTGGACTGTCTTGAGGTGGTACGGCTGTGAGAACTGCATGGAGCTGAGTGTGTCACGGAGGAGGTGTGGAGAGAAACGAGTGACGCTAAAAAGTACAGTGAAGCCAGAAGGATGACGATCTGAGAGAAGAAAATTTGAACCAGTCTTCCTGCATGTGTGTCATTTGCCAACTTGTTGGAGGACTGCAGTTGCTTGTAGTCAGTCCTGCAATACACACTGTGATTGCATCTATGATCCCAGCGTCCTTACAGTGGTCAAAGGAAACTCTTTCATCAAAGATTGTATTTTGATTGGAGAGGATCTTGCATGTAAAGTTAAAGTAAAAAAAATGGGGTCAATAATATGTTTAGGGACACACACTATCTTTGATTAGAATTTATTTTAATTAATATGGGTTTAGATAATCCTAAAAGAGGCCTTTTTGTGTTAGAGATGAAAACACACTTAGGGTTTCCGGTTCTTTTGACGTTACTACATTTTTCCTTATCACTGATACATTTTTGGTTCCATTTCAATGAGAGGTTGGAGGGGGGCAATCAATTTAAGCAACACATTGCCTATTTTATTGCACTTCTGAATTGTACAACCTCGGAGGGTTGTTGTAAACAAAATTCCATTTGGCTCTTAATGCCAAACTGACAAACCTGTTTGATCATTTATACGAGATGGGTGTAATGACATTCTGTATAAAGCATTCCAATTACCCACATCAGTTGTTCATCCCGCAGTGAGTGTTTCGCCTCAGTGACATTTTGCTGCTCTCGTGCAAAGGAGCGCGATGTGGATAATCTATCTCGCCTATGATTGAGGTTAATAATGTTGTAGAGGCTCAAGAGAGAAGATGATGGTGACACAGAAGGGGGGTGGGTGAAAGAAATGGTTGGAAGGGGCGGCTGGTGTTGTCCCTTCACCTGCATTGCAGTGCTGAGCTGTTTTTTGCCCAATCGTCTGCCAGCTGCCAATGCAAGGGGTGGGGCCAGAGGCTTACAGCAGCCAAGGAGAGTTCTCGGTCAGAGACTGCGAGCGAGAGAGAGAGAGAGAACAAGAGCAATGGAGAAAGTGAGCGCTGATGTGCGAGTGGAGAAGCGAGAGTCTGCGAGTTGAGCGCTGATGCCCCGAGTGCCAGCCCTCGTCTTCTCTTCTCGTCTTTTGCTTCTTTTCCACCACGGAACATCCTATTCATCACAACTCTGCTACTCATTCTTCATCCCGCTCACCCTTGTTTATTATTTATTTTTTTTCCCCGCCACCCACTCTTGGCTAATGGTGTGAGAGCATCTTTGAACACCTGCCCTTTTTCTGCCACTGTCCTGTCTTCTTCCCTGCTTCACGTCCCATGGGTATCCGCGCATCCTGCAGGTAAGCAAGCACACCCGGCAACCATTTTGGGTTGTTTTCTTGAACCGGGTCCACATGTTGAATTTCGCACATTGCTCTGTACCGTAAGTACATTTTGCTCAAATTCACCCATGGCTTTTGCCAATCAGAGGGTGTTTGAATGTCAGTGAATTTGTGTGTACTGTATATGTGCTGCAGTCCCCCCAAAAATGCACATACACGAACTCAATTCTCTCTTGTAGAGTTTCTGTTTCTTTCTGTTTTCTGGATCTTAAATAGTTTTTTACCCCTGACTAGTAGTCCAATTTTCAAAAATAACCGCATGTTTTTGGCATTTGTCTTGGCCATTAACAGAAAAAAAAATCCTTGTTCAAAATAACATTTTCTGATCATTTAAACGTCTCACAATTGTGCGAGCTGGTGAGCATTAAAAATAAGTAACTGTGCCAAGAATGCTGCAGAGACAACTTCAAGAACTTGACAAAGGCAGTTGGTCAGTAGGCAAACATTGCAGCCAAGGTTTTTTTTTTTTTTTAGCTGCAATGAGCAAGACGAATGCCGTTTGGTTCACTGTCTGCCTTGTTGCAAGTTAAAAAAAAACAACTTGGAAAGCACAAAGTGGTGTAAAATCTCACCGTTGGTTAATTGATTCATCAAAGCGCTGCTGTTTTTTGTTGTGGGTTGTCTCCTTCTTAAAGCTGGTGGCTTGTTTTTTTTTTTTTCCTTGGCAGTTTGACCTTTCAGCAATGCAGGGACTTCTTGTCTTACGACTTCACTTTACAGGTTGAGTCATGGCCAAGTTTTTTTGTATTTTTTTTTAGACGCACAAACACCAACTGTTACTTTGCTTTGCTTTGAGTAGTACTGTGTCAGAAATGGGGAGATTGTTTTTCTAATTCTTGAATCGACTGTGTTCATATTTGCTCATCACAACCTGAACGCTTCGGCACCCCGTGACCCCATCAGCTGTTCAGCAAAGCAGTTAATGTTTAATGATATTATGTCTTGGTTGAAGGATTCTTAAATGCGTGACTTTGTGGTCACTCATTTTAGCAGACATTTAGCTTTTAGAGTAAGTTTGTGCACATTGCACCACTGTCCTCCTGCAACTGGAATGAATTGAAAAGGGGGGT